TAATTGCGTATAATTGCAATTGACGTGTTGCACGCGTTATACCATTGTGTGTCACATTGTCTTGGCTGATGCAAGAGGACTGTTTTAATTTTTGCAATCGCAATCGATCATCTTGATCGGACGAGACGCGTCGATTTCGTCGTGCATTCGGTGGAAAAGCCGATGCGTCCTCGCGAACGTCACCTCGTGATTCCCTGGACGCGATTTCAATTGGAAATCTCCGCGAGCCGCGTTCCCACGCGATGTAATTAGAAACGGCGTTGTAATGAAGCTGTCAATTATCCCGCGACGATGCAGCGCGTCGCATTTCCGTTCCCGATTTGTCGCCGCTCTGAAACAATCCCGACTCACCGGCGACGAATGATCGATGGTCGTTAACACCGAAGTTTGCGCGCTCCGCTGAATAATCGTTCTTTAAACAATGAGCAAATCCCTAATGCTTTTACCGTACTTAAAGACCGCTACTTTAGATGAGAAATGTCCTTAACTTAGAAACAAAACTTCACTCGGCATTATTCTACGTCTACTGCGGGATAGGATTTTTTATCGTCGAAAGATCTATTGGTTGCTCAATTAATTAATTTGTCAGTTAAATCACACAAATCAGTCATCGCAGTTAAATCTTACGCGGAAGGCTGCTCGAAACAAACGATCGCGCGATGTTTCCAAATTGCTGCGGAGACTCGTCGATCGATTCGCGTCTCTCTCTCTCTCTCTCTCTCTCTCTCTCTGAGCTCACACGAAGAGAGCAACGTCGAGATTCTGAAATCTAAAGAGGCAATTACCGTAGCAGTGTCGACGTGCTTCTTTCGGCTCGGGGCGTCCTCGAAGCATATCGGAAGCATCGGTCTGCATGCCGCCGGCCTACGTATTTCGTCAGTGACATTATTCACGGCCCGCTAAACGCGACCCTCGCCTGCACGGCCGATCGCGTTAAATTTACCGCGCGCGTCGCGGGCGGATCGCGCGCGACGATATTCGCGCGCTAGAATCCAAGCGATATCGATGCAATTTGCTTTGTATCGCCCGTCGCGCGCGCGCGGTGACGGCCGCTTTTGTCGCGCTCGAAGGGAAATACCTTCGAACTCGGCGATTTTGCAGCGCGTACGTTTTCGCGCATCGTCCCCGGCGCGGAATACTGCCGATACGCCCGTCGTCGCACTTCCGCCAGATGTTTCGAGCTCGATGAGTTCGAAACGACGCGATAGTTGCACCCGGTAGGAATAGACTTCGTCAAAAAAAAGCATTGTCTTCGATTTAATCGATCAACAAAATCGTTTTTGCATAATCGATATTCTCTTAACAATATCGATAATCGACAATCTGTGTTTTCCTAATTTATTTTAAATTAATGTGAGGAGTTATATGTTGCAACAATGAATTAATATGTTATTGAAACCTTAAAGAGCTCTTTTACAATGGCTGCAAGCATAAGCTTATATATAAGAATAAGGCTGTAAGCGTAAGCTAGAAGAAATAAATCAGTTAGAGTCGGTTGTTCTTATGACAGTCGACTGTTGTCGACGGTGTGTTTTTTACTGTTTACTGCTACCGATATTTTTGGGGCCAATCATTTCTCTCGTCGATTATATTACTAGATCTGTTACTAAATTCTTATCACTAGGGAATTTGTTTACTACTATTAAGACCCGTTTACAATAGCTGCAAAAATAAAGCTGCAGTCTTATTTTTGCAGCTATTGTGGACGGGCCTTAATAGTAGTAAACAAATTCCCTAGTGACAAAAATTTAGTAACAGATCTAGTAATATAATCGATCGGAAAAGAAACGATCGATCTAGGGAATAATCGGTCTGATGATCGATTTTTCAAGAAAATGAGAATCGATGCTTGTTTCTCATCGATCGATATTTGCCCATCACTAGTTGCACGCGGCAGCCTTCCGTCGCACGTCCGCGTTCTCGAGTTCGCGTACATTAGCGTGCGCGGAAATCCCCCAATTTCGCGAGCGTGTTCGCAGCCTTCGGGGCCTTTCGAAATTTGCCCGCCGCAGCGCGCCGGCGGCGCAGGTTTCACCAGTTTTCGAGTTTTAGCGCGCGGTGAAATGATTTAGCGCGAGGAGCTCGCCGTTAGTCGGCCCGTCGGCGGAGTCGCGGCAAAGGCCGCGTTCTATTATCGAGTCGCTGGTGACGCGTGCGTATAATTTCGCGACTTTTCGCGATAACGTTAACGCAACTGTATGTGGAACAATAGGCGAGCCACGCCCACGTGTGTGACGAATCCAACATTATCGAGGTTTTCCTCTCTATAATTAGCCGTATCATTCATCTCTGACGCTTAATTCTCACCTCCCGCGGTATGTCGCGGTACGGTATGACCGACACGCTAATTATACACCGGACGAATTTGCTATCTCGTAGCGTACGCTTATCGGAAGCAGCAGCGCGCATTTGCATATTCTCACTTGGAAAAATTCAGCCAACTCGGATCTGCCCTTCGCGATCGCGTAATGCCTCGGTTCACTTTTCATCGCGCCGTTGGCTTTTCCTCCGTGCTAGATAAAAATGTACGCGCGAGTCGTTGCTATCAAGATCGGCTTGCTAACAAGTCTCGTCGACTACGGCTATGTCTAAGAGGGAAAGGAAAAGAAGAGAAAGAAAAGGAGAGAAAGAGAGAGAGAGACTCACGCCAGCACGCTCATGAAATTGCATCCGTTCGGTCGGCATCCTCTCGTGAGCGTTAGCGCTCAGCGAGAGAGAGAGAGAGAGAGAGAGAGAGAGAGAGAGAGAGGGAGAGAGAGAGAGAGAGACTGAAACACCCTCCCGATCGCCGCCGCGATCCCCCCTACCGTCGCGTCCTCCCTCGCTTTCCGCATTCGCGGAGGACGAGCAGCAGCCTAGGTCAGGCATTCGTGACGTTATGTGGGTCAAAGAACCAGTTCAACAACTGAGAACGATCGCGTACGACAGACCGCCTGTCGACGCCGGCCCGGTGACGTCACGCGACGCTATTCTCGGCAACGCCAACGCATTTACCGCGGCTAAAAATAGGGACTGCGGCGGCGGCGGCGGCGACGGCGACGGCGGTGCACGAGCGAGCGAGCGCGGGCGAAATGCCGGCCTGGCCAATGAGAGATCGCGGCCCGACTCTCGTCGACGCTGCGCTGCAGTAATAACAATAACAGCAACAACGGTCGTTGCACGCTTTCGACTCCGTTCCCTGACCCGTGGGCTGCTACCTCCCTCCCCCCTTCTCCCATCGACACCGGAGAATAGGGGCGCGCACGAACGCGCGCGACGATGCGAGCGATCTTCGAGGGGGGATGGTGTGTTGTGCAGCGCGCGCGCGCGATCGACGAGAACGATACGTCCACGAGGGTAGATAGATACCGCTCGCGTGCGCGCGCGCGCGCGCGCCATGTTTCGCGATATATGTACCGTGAAATATTGCAGGGAATATAAAGTTACTACTTCGCGCGCTCTTGGAGATATCCCGCGAAACGTACGTTTCGTTGCACGCGCGACGTACGTTTGTCGCGTTGTTTGTCGCGCGTCTGACTCGCGCCCGGCGAATAAATACGCAAACGAAATCTCTCTTTCTCATTCGCACGCGCGCGTGAGCGCGATGCGAACGTGACGTGACTAACGAAGATATAATTATATTGGACGGTATTTTGAAGTATTTTGAAGCGATAGTCCTCTAGACGCATTGCTCCTCGTCGTCGCGCCGCGGTCTCTCTCTCTCTCTCTCTCTCTCTCTCTCTCTCTCTCTCTCTCTGCCTCTCTTTCTCTCTCGAACTGCAGCCGACGCGCTATGTAACGATATGTAACGGAGTAACGATTTCACGCCACATCCGTAACGAGCCACGAGAGCTCGAAGATGTTGCCCCAACACGCTCGGAAATACGAGGTTTGATCGGAAAGTAACGAGAATTTCGAAATGCGCGCGCTGTATCTCGTCTGTTCAGTTGATTCTTTTTTTGTGTGCTGGTAGCACTACCAGTGTACGTACGTGTAAATTTTCAGACAGCTGCGACGCTTAGTTTGTACCTGGCGTGCGAATGAGCAATACGTGCTTCAGTGTGTTTGGCGATCTTTTGTGCGGCGAAATCAGTCGGATCAGAGAGCGTACCGCTTCGCTTATCCAACAGTTCTCAGCTCAGGCGAAACGCAACACCGTTGTGATGCCGCGACCACCCCTATTCTCCAGACATGGCTTCCTCTGTGACATTTTCCTATTTTCCCAAACTCAAAAGGACGCTCAAAGGTCGACAAGTTTCTCAACGATAGATGAGATAAAGGCGAAATCGCAGATCCAGCTCAAGACGATACCTAAAGCGAGGCGTTCCACCAGTGTTTCTCAAACTGTAAACTACATTGGCATAAGTGTATAATATCACAGGGGGACTACTTCGAAGGAGATGGGATACACATTGGAGATTAAATAAATACTTTCCGAGAAAATTACAAATTCTCGTTACTCTTTGATCGAAGGACCTCGTAGGACCGTCGTCGGATCCGTGCAAGATCGGGCGGCGAGTGAGACGATAATGAGAAACTAAGCGGCCCGCGCGATTTCGATTAGTCGTGCGAACGCGCGATGTCTAATAATACTACGGCGTTGATTGCCGCTCGATTCTTTAATCTCTAAATAGCTCCGCTCCGGACGCGGCGAGCGTTCTCCCATCTACGTAGGCGTAGACGTCCGACGACGTGTGTGCTCGACCGCGGCTTCACGGTCGTTACACGCCGTATCAGCGCGAAATGCTCGCCACTCGACGCCAGTATGAAAGATTATCGCGCTTGTCGCTTGTCGCGCGCCAAAAGTTACGGCGATAGCGCCTGTGTTCGATACGGACGGAGAGAGATCGCTCGCTCGCTCACTCGCCGCGAAAAGATACGTGCAAGTTGGCGGCGGTGTTATCGAATGCGACCGCTGGACACAATTGCGAAGTTGGCTCGCATTGTAGCGCAGTATTGTAACACGTAGTGGGACTTTGCGGGAACAGTTAACAACAGCATCGTCGTGTGTCTGCTTTCAGAGTTCGCGTCGAGTACTATGTGAACGAGAACACATTCAAGGAGCGGCTACAGCTGTACTTCATCAAGAATCAACGCTCGAGTGAGTAAAGACTCTTCACTCTGTCTCTCTCTCTCTCTCTCTCTCTCTCTCTCTCTCTCTCTCTCTCTCCCCCCCCTCTATGCCCCGTTCTCTTTTTATCTATTCATCTCTATCCATCTTCTTCTGTCTGTCTGTCTGTCCTTTTCTCTTTTCCACCTTGCGCTCTTCGCACGACGAATTTGCAATATTTATAGCTCGAGAATTTTCGGTCGAAGCGGCTGGAAGGCTTTTCAGACTTTTCAGACTGGTTAAAATATGCAGGCTGATGCGCGCGAGATGCGACCGCGATGAAATATTTATCGCGTCGAAAATCACGTCGAAGAATACCATTCTAGCCTTTTTTCTCTCTCTCTCTCTCTCTCTCTCTCTCTCTCTCTCGCGCAGCGGAAATTGACAGCGAAATTCGACAGGCACAGCCTGTCTCCTTCTTTATCGTCGGAGAATGAATCCGCCGCGTTGAGGAGCGACGTCGAAAAAATTCCGAATATTCCCGAGAAAAATCGCGGCGCATCTGCCGAGACAAATCCGAGACGGCTTAACCGTGTCGCCGTGGCGTTGTTACATTTCCGTTGAACTGCCGTCCCCACTCCGGAAACAGTCGGATCGTCGTCGTCGTTCTTCCGGCGTGTCGCAAAGCGGTCGCGCGATTGCTTCTTTTCGGGATAACGGAGCGCCGTTCCAAAGGCAATTTCGAGGGGATCGTCGCGGCGTCGTCCTCGCGGATATCTCGCGGCGCACAATCGCGTTCTCCGCTCAGATGACGGAGCCGATAATAGATATTGTGCCACTACCGATTCCTCTCGCTCTGGCTTTGACCTTTGCACCTGACCTGTGCATTAGGACGTCGTGAACCCAACGGGTCAACGCTTTGTTGCCCTTTGTGGAGTTTGTCGCGGGCAAATGGTTAAAGTATTGCGTTAAAGTCTGCCGTACGATCGATAGCCGTAAGCCGGCCTTCGATCCGAGTCTCAGTGAATCCTTAGCGTATTACGTAACTTCCGGCGGGCTTAACCTTTTCACTGTTAGCGGGAGGTATACTTCCTATACCTTTTCTTGATTCAATTTTGCGTGGTAAATCGCATAATTTTGACAAAAACTAATCGGGGATTTGAGTTTTCCAGATAAATCGATTCCTCGGTGAGTATTGAATAGGTAGAGGTCTGAAATTTTCACCAAATATTTCTCTGATGTTGCACAAGAGCATAGATTTTTTTTCAGTATTTTTTTTTGTTAGGTTAGATTTCTTTTTTATAAACAGATATATTCTACAGAAACGGCCGAAGTTTGACTTTTTTGCACTTTTTAGCATCCTAGTTTTTTATTCTATATCTCCATCTTATATCCATACTATCAATATTATTCTACTCAATATACATCATCAATAATAATCGGAATTTTTATCAATTTCGTACATTATGGTCGCCATACTGAATCCGCCATTTTGAATTTTGCAAAGCTGATTTCAGATTCGTAATCAGCGACCCGAAAAACCCATACACCGTCAATAATAATTGGAATTTTCATTAATTTTGTACATCATGATCGCCGTATTGAGTCCGCCATTTGGAATTTTGCAAATCCTACTTTAGATTCGTAATGATTTCGAGCCCGAAAAACGTAGGATTACCAAATATCTTAATAATTTTCTCAAGGCAAGTTAATTCAGCAGTGAAAGGGGGTTAATATAGCAGATTGTGACATGGCTCTCGTTATCTCTGTCTGTCTTTATGCCCGTGTCTCTGTGTGACTCATCATCTTTGTTTCATCGATACCGCTGTAACAAAAATTTCCTTTTATCCTTCACGACGTTACTTTGCATTATCGATTCCCCTGAGAGAACCAGATTCCACAAGCGAGACCATGTCGATGATGGAAGATGATGAAACCAAGGCCAATCGGCAGCCCGCGAGAGCGCGTCGTTACGTCACACGTCGGTTATGCGTTTGTGTTTCAGGCTTGAGGATACGACTCGCCAATCTCTTCTTCAAGCTGCTGACATGTTTCCTGTACATATTCAGGGTTGTTACCGACAACGATCCGACGTTCGCAGCATGGTAAGTCACGTTAAATGCCCGGGTGAGTTCTTTTAAATATTGACGAGAGACCGGATACGGTGAGTTTCGCGTCGAGCTTCCGTTGCGAGCGTTCGTCGCGCTCTTCAACATCGGTCTCTCGAGTGGAAACTCAGATATCGCGGAGTGACGTTCCCCGCCCGACATTCCTCGATCACTCTCACATTCCCGTCTCGTTCTCGTAGTATAAACAGATCCCGCGTCGAAAAGAGCGTCGAATCCGCACCGCGCGCGCTCGAGAGAGGTAAAAATTCCCGAAATAAAGGCGAATCTCCCCGGTAATCCCGGGGATATACCGGGTATTTCGGCATCGCGGCGGAGAACCTCCGGCGACGTTGGAAATGCAAGAATTCATTTGCTTCCATTTCGTTTCGTCGTCTTCGTCGTCGGCGGCGGCGGGACGATTTTCCGGAAAAGTTTTATCTCCGGGGAAAAGAAAGTCATTCTAACGCGCGAGCAGTGCAATATTCATGCGCGATTACGATATTATGTAACGCTCACGGCCGAGGAGAATAAGACGCGGGGATAAGGCCGCGCGCGAGGAATACAGTGGATGCAGTGTCGTTGCTCGCTCATGTGAGCGGGAGAGGGAGAGGAAGGGAGAGAGGGGGAGAGAGATAGTATTCAGCGTGTGGGAATCCTCGATTTCTCCCACGCAGGTTCCTCGCGGTGCTTATTGCAAATTTTTCTCCGACCGTTACGGCGCTGCTCGTTGCGTCGCCTCCCCGTCGCCGCCGATTTCCGCGTCCGTAAATATTCGTCGCTCGATACACCGATAATTAAATTCCGCTGGACCCGTGCACACACGCGTCTCCTCGTCAAAGCGTGCGCGACAACCTCGAAATCTGCCCCGCGATAAAAAGAGCCCCCGTGCAGCGCTACGTCGATACGATACTCGCGCTAAATTCGCCGAGATCCTTTAATACCCGATGTAACTCCATTATCAAGTTTCCGATCGAGGCTCTCGGACTCGTTAAGGAGGAAGTTCCGAGTTCCTTGACGAGAAACCGTGAACGACGGGGTCACCGCCGGTGACCCCGGCCGGAGTGGTAGATTTTCGACGGAGTACGACTTCCACGTGGCCGATGTGGCAAAGTCCCGGATAGAGGACGCGCGTTCCCGACCGATACGATTACGCGAACTTTCCGCGGGAGCTCCGACGTGGTCGGTGGGGGGGAGGGGGGGGGGGCCGCCGTCCTTATTCTCCCCGACTTCGAGCGATGTATCCCACGAGGACGAGGGTGTCGCACACGGAACCGAGCCGAGCCGAACGAACGACACGCTCTCGATATCGAAAAGCTATCGAGACTCGCGTGACAATCCGTCCTTCCCTGTCAACGCACTCATCTGTCACTCGCGAGCTCGCCCGTCTCTCTTCTGTCTGCCTTCCTTTCTTCCTTCCTACTTTCTTTCTGTCTCTCTTTCTCTCTCCAGTTACGGTTGCACGCCCGGCAACAAGACCGAGTTCCTTGCGTCGCAGAACTTGACGGAGGAGGAGTTCCAGGAGCACCCGACCATCAACTGGGAAGCCATCCTCTGGGTCAGGAGACCTCTGGAGCTGTGGGTGGTCCAGGTGATCTTGGCGATGGTGTCGCTAACCGAGGCCTTGCTGCTCGCGTATCTCGGTTACAAGGTACGTTACTCTTTCCTTATTGATATTAGTACCTGACTTTTTGGCGACTGTGCATATTAACCCACACAGCAGGAATGCTCGAAACACATCACAGGGATATTCTAAGAATATCACAATATCTTCAGAATACCCCTGTGTGTGATATATTTTGAATATTTCTGTGGGAAGGGACACCTCGCCATGATGATCTTGAACTTTATACATGTTATCGAGGACATTTCTCTGAGAGTAACTTGCCAAAAGTTTTAGTCGGCGGTCATCGTTTATTAAAAAGTTGTTAACAAAAGAGGTTTCATTAGTAGAACGTAGACTTTTCCGACGCAGTGTACATTTAGGTGTACTTGGATAAACTTTACACATATGAGAGAAGAGGCTTCTCTTTGACGTGCTTAAGATGTTACCTCACGAGTTTCTGCACTTAACGTACGTACTAACGGTTTTAACGGTTTTAATCTTTTCAACAACGCCCAATAATATATAAAGATGCAGTAAGACACATAGTGGATGTATGCGCAAAAAAATTTATTCATCACTTGGATCATTTAAGGGATACATTAAACTCATTATTTTAAAGAAAGTATCAACGCGTATATCAAAATTGTGTACTCTTTTAAATAAAAATTCTGCCGAATAATGTGCGAAGTGATAATCGCGCGTGCCCTAGCGAGGAATATTTGCTCTCATATCTCTCCATAATCTTTCTATATCTTGTGTGTGAACACCTGTTTCTGGATTCGCAAAATTAACTGAATGATTTACGGTTTCATGTGTGTAGTTTTTGTCGTTGGATAGGGCATCGTAGGCACGTCATTTATCCGAATAAACAATAGAGCCAGGAGCGACGTATTTTCGTATAATTGACAATAAGGTCTCAGCACTTCTATCCGGTACAGGTAGAATGAAAACTTTCTTCGTATTATGTTCAATACCTCGAAAAACCCACTTTGTCCTCGTATTATGCGTCCAGTATTATATTTTCGTTTGCCTATTTTTGCTTCGTCTATTTCTACCATCTTGTTTGTTCCAACCAATTGGATTCTTGCTTAGATAAAACCCATTGTTGAAGCAACTAGAGCAAATTTAATGAAGAATAACAGACTTATTTGAAGGATTATATAAATTAATACAGTATAAGATATATTGCTTACTTCTCGACAAAAATTCGTCCAATCGACTGCAGCGCTGTCGTTCAATTCCAATTCATTTTTTAGGAATTTATATTTCGGCGACTGTTACAGCAAAAAATATGCAATAAAACGACGAATTTTTGATAAATCCACATGTATTCGTGCAAACCAAGTTCCAAAGTGAAGAGCACTGAGTTTGAAATTACACTTTACTCTTCGTCGTTTTCGTCCTTTTATAACTTTGTAATAGTTGTTTCTGCAATGAAATAAATAATTTTCAGAAACATTTCTTAATATTAATATATTTTGACACTTTGGACACGTTATTTGCTTACGGACTACTTCCTTTTCACACAAATAATTCCACAGAGCATTGAAATCGTGTGTTATATTTAGAAACTCGTGCAAATGCATATTAACTGTATAAATTATTTTGTTTCGAAAGCAAAAGCGAGAACGATTTTACCACATAGCGGAGCTGTGACACACTGACTAAAATTGTAGTCAATTTACGAAGATTAAGAATGCCTTCAACAAAGGAATATAAGAAATCAAAACATCACACTACGTATATAACACGTATGTATATATTACATGCTCCTTCAGGCAATGTATATCTGATAATGGAGAATTATCTCCTTCTTACTGAACTGTTTCGAAAAATTACGTTACATTCGTACAACTTTCTCTGTCAACAACTTTTTAATAAACAATGAGCGACGGCTAAAACCTTTTGATTGTGACTCAGGAGGAGACATCTCCTTGATAATATATCTAACAGACAATATCATCGGAGGCGAGTCCCCCTAAACAGGAGTTTTACCAACTTTTTAATAAACAATAACCGCTGACTGAAACTTTTTGTAAGTTACTCAGACTGGACATGTCCTTGATAACAGATGTGAAGTTCAAGGTCGTCGGCAAGGTGTCCCTTAATATGCATAATTAGCGACTTTTTTTACTGCTCGATTGTTCGTTCCTTTCGATTACTGAGTCGAGATACACGCGTTATCGGCTCGCTCATCGTCGCTCAGCAGCGGTCGACGACCGCTCTAGATGTTTCTTCGTCTTTATTCCTCGTGTGTAACACGAGACGCTTCAGCAAAGAAAGCCCAAATGTATCTCTTCCTCATTATAACGTACGGGATCGTGCTATTCTTGCGAGTCTACCTCGCTCAAACGCACCGTCACACCTTTGCGTAAAGTATCGCTCTCACGAGATACAGCATCCGCTGCATGTTCCTGCATGTGCAATGAGCGCAGTGACGCTCGCTTCGCCAGACCCGCCGCCGCGCACACCTTCTTCGTCGCCCTGCTATTTTTCGAGCGATCAACTTGAGAAGCATGCGCCCCAGCGGGAGCGACTCGAAGGTCGAACGTTAACAACGTGTAAGCTGCGCTCGTCCAGCCTGCCACGGTTTACGGGTCAATGATTCGTGTTTTGAGTCGATCGAATATGTCGTATCGCGAGGCTGACGCGCGATGCTTCCCGTCCTCTTGCCTCCTCCCCCTCCCCCCCTCCCTCGCGAGCTATTTGCTTTCGTGATTTATTCGCTCGGAAAGGAAAGTTCCGTCAACTCGCTTCGAATTACACAGGCAGTTCCGCGCTCGGGGCTTCAAAGAAAATTAATCGGGAAAAAACGTCGCGACGTCTTTGATCGGTTGAACCTTGTCGGACCTGCGCGCCTTTAATTTTCCTCTCGCTCTGAGATCCGAAAATTTGACGACAGCCGAGCGCGAACGACTGCTGAAAACTTGCCCGATGGGACTTCTGCGTTTGTTTGATATTCGCCACCGTCGCTCTTCGGCGGAGAGACGATACGACGAGATTTGCACGGGGAGAAATCGCGATGATCAAACGTTTCGACTTGCCGGCGAGATCCCGAGAGTTCCGAGATTTTTGTACACGACGCGAGGATAATCGGGAAGAGCCTGTTATGGAAAACGATCTGGTTGTGATTCCCTTCTCGTCGCGAGAACGAAATCTTCCTCTCGGGCGAGCTGTTACATCGTTAGCTCCCGGAGATGTCCCGATCGTCGAGGTCTCCGACAGGCGCGACGATCGATGTTGAAATCCCCGTGCGCTGTTGGCGTGATGACGTTTCGTCATACACGTCGCCGACGTTTTCATCTTCAGTCCGACGTGAAACGCGAATTATATTACCCGATGCGCTCCGTCGGTACAACTCAGGCATCGAGATGTAACGAAAAAGGAAGTATCTTAACGAGGCATCCCACCCTTTCCGGCAATATACGGCGATAGCTGCTGCGAGGGGGTGATTTGGAAAGAAACGAAAATATCCGTGTCCCATTAAAAACAGCCCCGCACTGAGAGAAAAGTATACGATATTTGGAACTATAACGGTTATAGTAACTAAATTATAGTCCGAAATATCATATTTATAGTAAGTATTACCATAATATCGGTAATAATTACGATATATACGGCATAGTATAACCAACTACCATATAATATTTTTACTAAGAATTATAGTAAGTCAAAGTAAAATTATTGTATGGATACAAATATAAAATGGTAGGTAAAGTAACTCTTTTACATAGTCAATATTAGCAGAATATTTGCTAAACGATGACAGATGTAGCTATGTGAATATTCAATCACTCACTATATTTGTGAATGAGAAATTACGATATATGTGGTAAAGGTAACTGAACAATTATTTCAGACAATCGTTGACTATGTATTTGTGTTTATTCTACTGTATTCTGCAGATTCCGCGAAGTGTAAAAATATGGTTGACGCCAAAATTAACTATAAAATATAGTGAGATTATAGTTGATTCAACTATATTTTTCTATCTATATAGTGCGGGAGCTCGACGAGCGCGCGGTTGCTGCGGTCGCCGGTGCCGCGGTTGCGGCGGAACCGCCTCGAGTCGGCTGCAGCAGCGCGTCGCGCAAAATTTCATCAGACTCGGCCGCTGCTGGATTTAGTCTCGAGTAGCGCGCGTAGTGCTTCGACGTCGAAGCTACTTACAAAATCCGCCGGATTTAACGGACGGATGGTCGGACGCGCCATGCTGATGGGCGAGCTACGCGCTCCGGAATCGGCCGGAACCGCATCGCACAAAATTACACAGCTCCGTCGTTCCCTGCGAGAGCGAGCCATTGTAATCAGACTCATTACTATCGGTCGTGCAGCGCATCGCCCTTGTACGGATTAACGCGTGTCTCCTCCCCCATCGAGCCTCCATCCCCTTCTGCAGTCTCTCGTCGACCTCTACACTACGGCGCCTCTACACTAGGAAAAATGTATTGTTGCGTGAATCAAAATTTTGTTGCAACAACAAAATAATTTGGTTAAAATATGCCCAACAAAACTGTTTAGTTCCTGTAAACAAATATCTTGTTTGATCACGGTTTGTTCGTATAACGCAATACTTTTGTTTGTAGCAACCGAAAAGCTTTAACTGTGTGAATTTTGTTAAAGATACTATAATTTTTTCTCGACATATAAAATCTCAATTTCAGTGCACAGAAAGACAAAATAGTATCCACTGGGCATTATTTTAGTTTATGTAAAATAATATTTCGTTATTATGTAATTTTTACGGATAAAATAACTAAAATGCTTAATTCTTATATACGAAGTCTAAGAACAAAATCATTTGGTCCAGAGAACAAAGCAGAAATATATATTTAGTTGAAACAACTAAATATTTTGTTACATATAAAACAAGATGTTGGTTGCTATTAAAAAATGCCACAACTAAACAGTTTTGTCAGAGATACTAAATTTTTTTTTCTAGTGTAGTCGTGTTATTCGCAATTTGTGAGTTCCAGAGCGCTCTCTCTCTCTCTCTCTCTCTTCTCTCTCTCACTCCCCTTCACCCCCTCTCCCCCCTCTCTTTCTCTGTCTCCCTCCGTCAGGGGACGCCGTGAGGAACGGCAGTGACGCGAATGGAACCTAAAGAGAACGTCGTTAGCTGCATGGTCGCGCAGGGGGGAATATCTCGCGCTTCGTGACAGCTCGGACGATTACAGTGAGCCACCGAGAGCAGATTTGCAAGACGAGTCCGTCTCGCCGAGGACCTCCCCGTGGATCTCTCAGCAAGCTCTGCCCAAGCTAGACCGGACAAATATCGACACAGCGGCCGGTCGTTTCTTCGGTCGTACGACTCCTCGAATTGCGCTCGTCGGCACAACTGGTCTATAAATCTCGGAAGCGGATATTAATCGCCGCGGAGCTCTCGAAAAAGCTTATCCGGTTATCGTCCGGGCGCAGTCCCCGCGGAGCTTTGTGCTTTCTCGTTCTCTCGATGAATGCGGAGAAAAAAAAGCGGAGCAATTTCTCCTCCCCGCCTCATGCGCGCTTTCTCTCTCCCCCTCCCCCCCCTCTCTCTCTCTCTCTCTCTCTCTCTCTCGCTCTCTCTCCCCGCAGAGACTCTCCATTAAGAGATGCATCTCCGGTGCATCTCGCTCTCGACGTTTCCGCGCGGATGCGTCGCGAGCGCGAGTAGAATCGCGTCGCAGCAATTCCCTTCCGTCAGCAGTCATAATTTTTCGGTGGAAAATAAGGCCACGGGCGGGAGGGAGGGAGGGAGGGAGGGAGGGGCAGAACCGGACGGATCCATAGGCATCTTGTCTGCAATTGAAAGGCCCGGGGAGTAATAATAGAGTCGCAACGTCACAGTAGAGTAAAGTCGGACGCGGATTCCTCGCTCCTGATCGTGAGCGGCGCTCACTTAGAATTCTCTTCGACGGAGGGAAGAGAGGGCCGAAGATCCCGAGATCTCTGAGAGAGACAGGCCTGCGCCCCCTACGTGTATGCATGTACACAAATTTAGTGGCCCTTGTAGCATTAAAGGCGAACACGTCGGGAGAAAATCACCGGCGGATACGAGACCGGCGCGGAGACCGAGATATGTGCGCCTTCGCCTCGAGGCGGCCGGCAAGCCTCGTCCATGTGTCTTGTCTACGACGTGGACGGCGACGGTGATTGCGTCCGGAAGTTGACGTATCCCGCAATCAATATGAGAAGAAAATTACGCCGCGCTACAAGAGATTTAAAGCGCAAACGAGACAACCCCGCGTTTCGCATGTTTCATGCTTTCGCGGAGCGTCCGAGGCGCCCGGAAGCTGCTCGTCCGGGCTCGTAGCGCTCGCGAAATTAATAATCGCGCGACATTATATCCTGGAACGTGTCCTCCCGGCGCGAGGGCGCAATCGGGTCGAGTCTGTCGCCGCGGGGAGAAAAGCGGTTATGTATGAGAGAGCCGCATATAAATGAAAGTTTAGCTGATGGCCGCGTCGCGCCGCGCCGCGCCGCGCGGATTCGAAGGAATCCCTCGGCCCGGATACACCGGCGGGTTCCCGCGATCCGCCGTCGTAATCGTTTATGTGGGCTCGCCGAAGTCGCGCAGGAGCAAGCGAGGGTGCAAGCGCGACACGTATACGGTAACCGCCCCGGCTGTAGTCGAGAACATGCTTTTCCCGAAAGAATTTCAACTCGCTTTGAAGCCAAGGTGAAGGATTTACAGCGACGGAGCTACGCCGGAGCTCTCCGAACCTGTAATCCGATCGAGGCTCCGTGTACCTCGCGCCGAGATTTTCCGTTGCGAATTTTTGTCGCGTCAGACACGACAGAGAGAGAGAGAGAGAGAGAGAGAGAGAGAGAGAGAGAGAGAGAGAGAGAGAGGCCGTCAGAATAGAAGGAGCGATCGATGATCGCTCAGCGCGTGTGCAGCGTAGAGTTGCCAAATCCAGAAGTTAAAATTACCGGACATTTCTTCTGCGATGCACTGAGAAAAATATTCGAAGTATCCGATTGTTAATTTCGTTATCCGATCAAATATCCGGTGTGTTTAATCGGACATTTGATCGGATAACAAAATTAACATTATCGGATATTTCGGATATTTTTCTCCGTGTGTGACAAACCCAAAGCGTACTAAACCGGACGGAAATAATAATCATGACGTTACGTTAAATACAAAATACGACCAGAATTTATTCACGATATTAATTTCCAAACAATTTTATAAACAAGATTTGATTGAATAAAATAATAAACTATTACTGTTCTTTCAATATATATGGAATGATGGATCGGCAGATCATCTGCTAGATGACTTTTCGTGGCGCTCGATCATTCGTAGGCGCTTGAAACGGAGAAACGTTGCTCAAAACGCTGAACGCTCGTTCCATTGATTGGAATCCAGTTTGACTTATCAACCGGACACTGGAGACAAGACTTCTGAAAACCTGACGGTCCGGGCGCAAAACCGAGCAGTTGGCAAGTGCCTAGTGCAGCGTCGTTGGCCTGATTGCATCCGTGAAGTGCGCGTCGCTCGGATGGGCTTTCGCGGGATTCGCCGTTCGAGCTGGCCGACGACAGAGTTCGAGGACTCGACTTAATTTCCTTCGCGCGGCGGACAGCTCGAAGGGATTTCACGATTCCGCGTGGACGGCGAGTACTCGCGGCGGTCGCCGCTCGGTTCGACCGGGAAGAATCGCGCTTCTTCGGAAAGCTGCCCCATTCTCGCCGTTGAACATATTGCTTCGGCGACAAGCGCGACTCGTCGTAGGGAAACACAAAGGGAACGCCGCGCCATGCGAGCGTCTTCGTGCTGACGCCTACAGGATGCCTCTCTCGTTCTAATTAACTGGCTGCTACGAGCGAGCGCAAAACTCTCACCGGCGGCTGACAAAGAGTCAGCCATGAACGTCAAAGAGAGACGCGTAACGCGATGAAAGGTTGCGCGGTCTCGCTGTAATACGCGCGTCACGTTCTTTCGCTGGTGAAGTGCGAGAGAGTCCGCGCGCTCATCCCAGCGCGAGCAATCCCAGCGGCGACGACGGGGCGAACAAGTTCTTTATCTGATTACTCTCGTATTCGCTCTCTTCCGTCGCGCCCCGCGACCGGAGCTAATTACCGTTAGCGCCGATGCGCGACGGACTTCCGTCGGCTTAACTTTTTCTCTCGTAGCGACGCGCACGCGGCGCGATTGCGCATAATTCGCAGCTCGACGTCGCAGTCCGCCGCGCGAGATGGCGAATGCGAGGGGAGATCGTTTGGGGAGAAACAGGTCGCGAGTGTCCCTCCTGCCCGCCCTTTCCCTCTCACCTCTCGCTATGTATCTCAATTTCATTAGCGCGCGTTTGTCTTCGTTACATTCGCGAGGGAAATGCAGGACGGCGAAGCGCGGGTTTACACTTTCGCAAGTAGTCCTACGCTGGTAAAATTGTCGCTGGGTGTGTTGAGCTATCCTCGTGATGTTCGCAGGGAAACGTCTGGCAGCAGCTTCTATCCTTCCACTTCATCCTGGAGCTTGTCAACACGATCCCGTTCACAATCACGGTAAGTCCTAAAGAGGATTATTCTGTTTTTTCATCTTTAGTCGCGCCCTTGCGCTTCGTTGGCGCCTCGCGCCTTTTAATTTCGCAACGCGGAACAACAGCTGACGCGCGTGTTTCAGCGCCAGCTAGTTCCTCTCGTTTGCGTGCGCGCGACGCGACACCTCCGGCTCTCTCACGCGGCGTTTCGTTGAAAGATGTCGCGCACGAGGAGGCAAAATCGTCGCATGCGTCCCGCTGCTCTTTTTTTTTTTTTTAATTCGCCGCACGAGAATTAAATGTGTCGCGTAGAACACGTGACGTGTGTGCGCAATTGGCCGCCGATTGGACGCGGAGTCCCGGAGTACCGAAGGGACGGTGTAAACGGGGGGGGGTCTGGGCCATTGAGAGGGATGAAGAACGGAACGCTCGCGCGTTAAACTATACGAAGCAGCCTCGCGACAAGTCCGGCTATGCAAGTCCGGCTATGACGTATCGATCTTCGCGCACCCCCATAGGGAATAACCTTTGTTTCTCACCGGCGACGGTACGTAACGACATTACGTGCACTCGGTATTGCGCTTTGGAATTTAATTAGCTTAACCTCATTAGTTTTGGATTATGCGGCGGGGGGTTTGTATGGCGTATATAAATCGGCTATGCGAGACGTCGGCCGGTTTTACATACGCGCGTGTCTTCCTTTATAGTTGACACCGCGCGAGTGAAAGACGCGTTCATTAAAGGCCCGAGAAGACGCCCTTCGAATCAAAGGGATTGATCCGCGCGCGTGGGACGGCGAGCGTCCCAGGCTTGGGGGGGGGGAGAGGGGGGGGGGGAGATATAGCGCGTGTCGCATCGTCGGGCGTTCTTTTTTCTTCGGACTCGGAACTTTTGCTTTCGCGAGAAGCCCGACGTACGAAATTCAATGCGCAAATCTGACCCGCGTCCTCCGTCGCGTCGGTCTTTGAGGCAGGCAACAATGAACAAACTCGGGATTCGGATCGAGCAGCCGCGCTCGTATTTGCACCGTAAATATCTGGCGACTGGCTGATAACAGATGCTGCGTTTGTCGCCGCTGTGCGCGCGCGCGCGCGCGCGCGCGAGCTTTGCAAATGCTAAAACGGGCGCTTATTCATCTAATAAGTCAATTATTGAGATCCAAGGTGAATCGCGGCCGACCGACGGGAAAAAATGCTCGCGAGCAGAGACGGTGTAATCCGGAATTGTCTGAAAGACAATCGATATCGGCGTGCGCAGCACGTTTCATTACGGCTCGCGCCGCAAGGCAATTCCGTTTTTCACTCCTTTTCATCCGATCAAATATTTGTCGATTGTGCTCGGTTGTGAAGATTCCTTTTCTTTCTCGCTTATTTAATCGACGGAGCGCGTAGCAAAATTATCAAGCTTGACACCCTCTTAATTAATAAAAAAAAAAACAAAATCTCTTCCTCGACCAAAAGCGCGTGAGTGAATCAGAGTGCCAGGTCCTCTTTTCGGCACTCTTTCTCTCTCTCTCTCTCTCTCTCTCTCTCTCTCTCTCTCTCTCTTTTGTTTCGTATATCTTTTTCTTGTAAAAAAATCGAAACACGCGAAATCACGATCGCGGCTCGTAACACCGCAGAGAGATCGACACGCGTCTGCCTAAGGGTGCGAACACAAAGGAAGCAGGTTTTCTGCTTTCCGATAACCAATGGCAATAGGCGCGGACTATTGACACTTGAGAAGGACACACTAGACGCGTGTTAAAGCAGGAAACTTGCCACTTTCTGAGTCGCTGTCTTGCAGTAAAGATGTCTTCATCCGATGAAGATTTTTTTTTACTGGATAATATTGTACCAAAAATAGAAAGAAAGAGATTTGGTGCACGAAATAAATAAAAGCAGAAGAAATAACAGTGAATACCATAATTTATTCGATGATCTCAAGAGAGACGAACAAAAATTTGTCCAGTACACAAGGATGACTCTGGAAACTTTTAATTACTATGATTTTTATTTCTTTTATCCCAAATGGGAGGTCTGACAAGTATTGCTGGAATTAAATTATCGATGTCCATTTGCAGTCCACTTTCAGGAGTCAACCGGCGCTTACAATCGGAAAGAAGGAACTAAAAATTCGTTCCGCTAAATTCGCTCGCGGCGATGACACGCGCGGACTTGTTTTTATTATGCGCGGTCTCATGTGATGACGCGTACATATTCTTAATGCCGATCTGCGCCTGGCCAACGGAAAGCAGAAAACCTGCTTCCTTCGTGTTCGTACACGAGGAAAAATGTATTGTTGCGTGAAGCAAAATTTTGTTGTAACAACAACAAAATAATTTGGTTAAAATATGCCCAACAAAACTGTTTGGTTCCTGTAAACAAATATCCTGTTTGATCACGGTTTGTTCGTATAGCGTAATACTTTTGTTATAGCAACCAAAAAGCTTTAACTATATGAATTTTGTTAAAAATACTATAATTCTTTCTCAATATATAAAATCTAAATTTTAGTGCACAGAAAGACAAAATAGTATCCATTGGGCATTATTTTAGTTTATGTAAAATAATATTTCGTTATTATGTTTATAATTTTTATGGATCAAATAACTAAAGTGCTTAATTCTTATATATGAAGTCTAAGAACAAAATCATTTGGTCCAGAGAACAAAGCAGAAAAATATATTTAGTTGAGACAACCAAATATTTTGTTATATAAAACAAGATATTTGGTTGCTGTTAAATAATGCCTCGACTAAACAGTTTTGTCAGAGATACTAAATTTTTTCTCCTAACCGAAGATGTTGATGTTGAACTTGCAGTTATTATACCCACCGATGAGGAATCTGTTCATCCCGGTGTTCCTGAACTGCTGGCTGGCGAAGCACTCCTTGGAGAATATGTTCGTAAGTAACTCGCTCGCTCCGAAACCGAGAATTCGCGACTAGATCGGACCAGCGCGGTCGATCGGTGATCGGTGAACGTGTCTCGTTCCAGAACGACCTGCATAGAGCGATGCAGAAGTCCCAGTCGGCGTTGAGTCAGCAGCTGATGATCCTTAGCGCTACGTTACTGTGCCTTGTCTTTACTAGGTGAGTGAAATCAATCGGAACGCGCGCTGCACTCTTCGCGGTCTCCCCGCGACGAGAGGGGGGGCGGGCGGGGTGAAGGGGGAGAGTCGCGGAAGACGCGGAGGCGTCGATCGAAACGGCGTTGAAGCCGAGAACGTTTCCTTCCGCTCCGTCCGCGCCGCTTTCGCGTAAGCAGCTCCGAGAGGAAACGCGCGCGTCGACGGCCCTTAAGGGCGACGGCATTAAATTAACGACTAAGAGTGCGCGGCTACGCGCCCTGAGACATTGTTCGCTCGCTTGTGTTCTCCCGTGCCGCGCATCGCAGATTGTTTGCCGAATCGTAGCCAACATTTCCCCGTGTTCGGCAGTTATGGCTAAGTTTCGCGGACGGTATTGTCGTGGCCTAAAGTTCGGTTAAGCCGGAGTAAATGTTTGCCGTACCGCAGACATCTAATTACTGAAGGCTTTATTGCGCCGGCAAACGTGTGTATCGGCGTCGCATGCGACGAAGCCGCGCTGGTAGCGAAATATCCCGCGTTAATCGGCCCTACGGTTGGCAAAGGGACGACAATTGCTAACTTTATCGACCTTGTAATGTCGCGGATTTTAATCACGGGTAATTCTTTTTAATCCCTTTGCGCGAGTAGTTGCACTTCGCTCGTTATCGTAAGGAAAACCGTGAGTGGAACGAGCTGCGAGTGGCCGCGGAATTTTGCTCTTTGACGAATTATGCACGCGGATATGAATTTTTCTTAATTACTTCAACCTTCTCTCTCTCTCTCTCTCTCTCTCTCTCTCTCTCTCTCTCTCTCTCTCTCTCTGTCTCTCTGTCTGTCTCGGCTAATCTCCAGCTGTGAGCCATTTTTCGAAACGGCGCGAAATGTCGCGAGGTTACGCGAGCGCTATATAATTAACGGTGATAATTGCGCGAATAGTCTCGCGCAAGTAAGACCGCACTGCTCGCTCTTTGTCCTACTTACCGCGCTCATCAAAGATACATTCGACTGGCGGGTGGGCGGGCGTAAGTTTGCAAAGCGGAAGTGTGAGTTGTCGTTTCTCGGAGGAACAAAAACCGAAGGGTGCTCCAACGTTCTCGAGCTTGCGGCAACGACGAACGCGTCGTTGCCGCAAGCTCGAGGATCGCCACGTGCGATTTTTCAATCCGGTAGGAATGACTCTTTCGATCTCGCGTGCACGCATACAGAGCGAGCGTAGATTTGCGCCGATTTATCAAGCGACACATTGTTATTGGCCGTTTGATCGTGCCGCGCGGAGTGTGAGGACTGGACGTATAAAAAGCACGACGAAACGCGCGTTGTCGATTAGAGAGACACCAATGTCGCGAAACAAATATTGCATTTTAACCGGCCGCAAATCCAATCGAGGCGGTGATATTAAATCGACATGCGTTGTAGCGACGCAAATATCAATTTTGCGTTTCCGCATTTGATCGATAATAAAGTGCGGAGACGACCGGCGCCGTCCGCCTCGTTATTAGAGCGGACGAATTACGGCAATTGTCGCGCGTGGACGACCATTTCTCTCTGCCTCCCCCGCTTCCCACCCTCTTCATATCGCCCCCGTTCGTTTGATTTGCGTTTACGTGTGCGCTCCGCACGCGAGCCCCAGTCCGTGTCGCGTCGCGTCTTCCCGCTGCAAATTCCGGGCTGAATAATTAAAACGCGCGAAATCATTCACATCACCGAATGCGGAAATGCGAAAACAAAACGGCCGCCTTGCCCGCGGCGAGCAGTTTATCGCGTGATACAGAGGACCGACGATCTGCGCGTTAATTTCACGCGCGGATCAGCGCGATCTCGCGCGCGACGCGATAATTTCTCTTTTACCTCTCGGGAGAGGCCCTCGTTAAAGGGCCTGATTTACACGATGCTTCTTTTGACGCTGGCTTCTTTTGTCGCCAGCTTCTCGCTTTCCTAGAGCGAATTTCTGGCTGACAAAGTCGCTAGCGTTGGAGCATTTACACGATGCTGATAAATAGCGTTTAGTCGTTTTAAGCGTTTTAGGGAGAATTTCGCGGAAACGGTCAGTTAAAAGGATCACGGCGTCAAGGAATGACATGGTTCAAGCTGCTGTCGTGTTTTGTGCTCTTCAAGCAGAAATTCGTGGCTCAGAAACAAAATAAAAAAAAGAAAGAAGGAATGTGGGTACGTAAGTGGATAGGTAGAAGATTAAGTCATGGAGAATCAAATAATCTTTTCAAAGAATTGGCACTGGAGGATCCAACCGCATACCGTAAAGTATGCGCGATTAACGTGCGAGAAATTTGAAGAACTTTTGAAAAAGGTGCATCCGCTTGTACAGAAAAAAGACAGTTTAATGTCGCTTGACGCACGAGCCGTAAAAGTTGGACATGTTCAACTTTGCCGCAGCGACTGCGCTGCGTCTTCCAAATTTTTGACGCTAGCGAATAAAAATCGAGCGTCTAGGAGAAGTTTTCACCAGCGAATTCGCTGGCGACTTAAGAAGCTTACTCAAAGCGAGTAAAAGCAGCATCGTGTAAATCAGCCTTAATTCTCGCATCTCGCGGACCGACGCACTCGCGCGAGCGAGCATCCGCGCTGATCGCGTCGCTCAGGATCGGGATCGATGCTCGGCTGAGGGTTCCGAGCCGAGGATCCGCGATCCGTGAAGATCGCGACTTGACATTCGCGAGCGCTGCGCCGCGCCGTCGCTGCCGTCCTGACGAAGTTGCCGTCCGCATTCGTGCGCGACCGCGCGTTCTTCAAGTTTACACGACGGACGCATTTCATTTGCCGGTATGCGGGTCTTATTGTATTATCCGAATAACGAGAAAAGTTTCCCGTGGCCAGGAGAGGTTGCTGGTGATGGAGTTCCTATTTACGAATCCAGGCCGCGGGTGACTGCAGTTCGTCTTGTTTAATCTTCTAATAAAGCCGGCGCGTATCTCGCGCTAAACGTCCCGACATAGGCGGCCTGCCTCGTGGAAGTGGAGAACGGGTCGTCCTCGAGCGCGCGCGCGCGCGCGCCAACCAATTTCGAATATTACGCCATCAGCCGCTCACGCCGTCGCGGCTCCATTATTTTACAGACCACTCTCGTCTAATGGTACAAAAATTACAAAGACACACGGCAGACATCGATAGACAGCTCGCTCGCTCGAGTCTACGCTCGGGCAGTCCCGAGCGCTGTAAATCGGCCCGAGAAGCGTGATTCGCTGGAAAATTCTCTCGGACTTGCCAACAATCGATCGATCATGCAGACGCGAAAAAGCAATCAGCCGTCATACGCAGACGGCACGAGTCGCAACGTCAACCGCGTATTGCCGCAGACATGGCGGCGCGGCGGCGCGATTTATTTGCAGCCGCGTCGTTCTACGGTGCGTGCGTGTGTGCGTGAGAGAGAGAGATAATTCTGCCGAAAAATCATCTATACGCAAACTTTGGAAGAGTGGACGACTGACGCAGCAGCGGCAGCTGCTGCTGCGGAAAAACTGTTCACGTCGTCACGTCGCAGGCGGCGCGCGCCTCGCAACAATGACAACGTCGCGGGCTTTGCCGTATTTACTGGGTGCGTTCCGTTTCACGCATATGCGCACATTTATCTACAGTTATGTCACGTATGCTATAAAAACTATATAACGCGCAAATGCGCCGACGAAGAGTGTCTAGACAAATTTGAGCCGCGATTAGCGGCCTGCCGTCTCTCTCTCTCTCTCTTTCTCTCTCTCTCTCTGTCGGCGTTCGCGTCTCGCCGCGGCGTAGCACGCTACGACATCGCTGACGTCACCGGTCGTGATAGTAGGCCAAGATAATCCGGGGCTTCTTTGCGTCACTCGACTTACTGCAACGACAGTAATGAGCGGTATTACAGACTCCGTACTTTAATAGCGCCGCGGCGTATTATCGGCCGCCCCGCCTCACCCCGAGTGGACCTTCGCGATAAAAGCGCGCGGACGCGCCCGTTTCCGACGACGCGCTTTACCGGAAGTACAAGCAAGTTCGACGATCTCGCTCCGCGGAAGTTCACACCGCGGATCAAGCCGCAAGCGGCCTCCGTGTCTTTCCCACGCTGTGTTGCCGCGGGGAAATGACGGAACACACGTCTGATCGACCCAGATCGCGATATGTGGGACAGCTTTTAATAAATAATCGCACGCCGGCTTGTGTGCAGATGGATTGGTATCACCATCGATCGCGGCGCTTTATTATTTACGGTGTGATTCTAGAGCGGCGCACTTGCTCGCTCGCCCTTGTCACGGATGTGTTACCCGCGACAAGGACGAGGGGGTAGAGCGTGGTGCGTCGCGACGAAATCGGCCGATCGCGGCGTCGCCGCCCGAAAGAAGATGAAAGATCGCCGCGACGTGTAACTTGTTCGGGAACGAATTTATCCAAATCGGGGGAGACGACTCGATCTTGAAGTGCATTCATGCGACACTCGTCACACAGTCAGACATGCGAGAGATTCCGCTTTCTCTTGTGGGATTTTGCGGCGCTCGTAGTACCAGTCGTTTATCTCTCCTTCTCTCGCAAGAGAAATTTCACCGATCCGGAAAGAAGCGTCACATTTTTCCTCCCGTCTTCGGCTCTTTCTGTCTCTTCCTTTCCTTGCCGACCGAACATCGCCGTTTCCGCGCGGCTCGTGTGCGAGCCGGTTATTCACGCGATCCTCTTCGCTCCTAGAGATGCTTAATTACTGGCCGCGTCGGCAAGCGGGTCGCTTGACTTTCGTGCTGCGAAAACGCGGTATGCACGATAAGCGTTGCAGTCTCGGTCGCACGCTATGCGCTATCGCGTCTGCAGTCCGAACCACCGCCGGCCGACCGGCCGGCCAGCCGGCGACGGTGTACAGGCAGCCGGCCACTTTCGTACGTCTAACTTTTGCGGAGGCCGCATTTTCGTAAATTATGCGTCTGCCGCGCTTGGCGGGACCCGTTCCAAACGACGTCGCTGCAAAATGATGGACGAGCCAAAAGGAGCCGCGGAGAATTTACTCCGCGGACATAAATTTGTTATATCCGACACACACACACACACACACACAGAGAGAGAGAGAGAGAGAGAGAGAGAGAGAGAAAGGAAAAGGAGAGAGATTTAAGCTGTCTGTAATTGAGAGGTTCTCTCGTTGCATTTATTTCTCAGCTTTCGCGATGAATAACGGGCGCGTTGTTGAATGAGATTTTATCTCGCTTCGCGGGGAAGTTTGCTCGTACGCGTGCCGTGTGTGAGTTTACGCACACGTTAAAGGTCGTTACAAGTGTGCCAACAGTTACAGAGATGAATATTTTGCGTTAGTAATGCCCGCGCGAGAACTCTGTGTTATCTTTGTATATTTACATTCCGTTATCATTAATGATAAGCAAGTTGTACTCTTTGCCGTTTTGGCGTTTGTACAACTGCAACACCTATCGCCTCGCGATAATAAGTTAGCCGGGTATTGCGCTCTCTGCTACTCCGCCGTTTAATTCGGCGGAATGATTCGGCTTTGGATTCTTATCACGCAAATCGTCGGTTTCTTTTCCTCCCGTATCTTCACGATACACTTGTTGCTTCTTGTTGAGGAGAGTAATTCCGAGACATTTCCGAATTAAGCCCCGACACACAATGGTTTCCTTTTATTCGCCGCAGCGTTTCCAACGGACACGGACACGGAGTTTTCGTAGGTGCTCGAATATTTCGAACGGCCCTTATCTTCTCTCTCCCTTCCACTTTCTCTCGTTCTTCTCGTATTTCGACCGCCTCGGCTGTTGCCGAGGAAATAATAATGTTCAATTGAATCGACACCGTCACACGCGCGCGCACGACGAGATTCGTTAGCGAAACGGACTTAACAAACGACCGCGCTCGTACAGAACAATGAAAATTTTCGCGAAAATGCGTAACTATATATTATTCGCCGTTAGCTCTCGCGAAAACGCGACGGATGCTGACGAGCGGACTTTGAGAGGATAAAGCGCGACTGTGGTTGCCAGTCGTTTCGATGTAATGCTCTCTCTCTCTCTCTCTCTCTCTCTTGTTTTTCATTTCCCTGCAGGCGAACGCGTCACATAATGCGAATTTCGAAAGCGCATATTTCATAATTATTCCAGCAATCGCACGTCGACGTTCTCGCAATGCTTTCTCTCGAAGCGAATATTTCCTATCGCCGGTTACACGATTACAAAACGTTCACGTCGACGTCGCGTTGATAACGTGCAGTTTTTACATTCGAGGAAACGGGAGAAAGAAGAAAAAGAGAGAGAGAGAGAGAGGGGGGGGGAGGGAGGAGGAGGGACTTATCGATTTGAATAAATTAAACGCGATCGATCCGCCTATATTGTTAATTAACACGCGATGGGGCACGCTCGACTGTCACGACACGTCGCGCGGAAGCACGATGATGCGATGGCGCGCGGACCAAGCATGGATGGGAAGGGGGGAGGGGAGGAGAGGAAAAATGAACAAGGTGCACAAATATACACGTCGATATAGATATAGAAACGGGGCCGTGCCGCATGCATAATGAATGTGCCGGCGGTTTATAAACGCCGGCCGTTATATTCAGCCGGTGGTTTCGTCTGAACGCGGGGTTCAATCTTTTCCCTTTCTTGCGCCGTTACATCAATTCCGTCGCGGCCGAGGTACGGCCGAGGGCGCCGCTTTATCTTGCCGTGCTTCGAGCGGCCGGGCTAATTGTGCATTCGTTTCGTTGCGGGCCAGGGAGGCGTCCGAATGAAGAATTACGACGAGAGACAGGGAAAGGCGCGAGCGAGTGAGTGAGACAGAGAAAGAGAGATAGGAGAGACTGAGGAGAAAGAGAGAAAGAAAAAGAGAGAGAGAGAGAGAGAGAGAGAGAGAGAGAGAGCGCGCGCGCGCGCTCTCCTTTTCGGAGCGACTTGGCGAATTCGTCCGCTCGAGATCTACGCGAGACTACACGTCGGGCTGATTAAGTCGGAGTAAAAGCTCGCCCGTGCTAATTGCGATTGATCTCCTCCGCCGACGCGCTGATCGATCCGACGAGGGAAGAAAAGTGTCGAACGGCAGGAACGTATCGCGACCGAGCGACGTAAAACAGCGGTAAAACGTAATCCACGGGAATCGCGAGGCGGCGTATTCGAGTGATATAACGATATACTGGCGTCCTCGTAGAATTCCTAGGAGTGATCGTCTCCGAGGCCATTAAAGGAAGCGTACGTATACGCGTACGCGAATCTTCTCCCCCATCTCTCTCTCTCTCTCTCTCTCTCTCTCTCTCTCTCTCTCTATCCATCTATCTATTTATTTATCTGTCCGTCTCTCTTTCTCTCGGGGAAACGACAATGGAACTCCGTCGATCCTCGGCGGCTTGCGACGATTTAACGCGGAACGGTATCGCCTGCAGTGGCGACTATAGAAGTCGCGAATTTACGTTAGCCGCAGCCCGTGGCGTATGCCGCCGTTATAGGCGACGTGGATTTACGCCGGACGCATGTAAAGTGACTGCAATCACGTGCCTCCGCCGTCCGTCCTCGTGGCCATCCTCCGATCGATCGTCCGACGATCCGACGGATTTTCCGTTTCAGCGTATGCGGGATCCAGCACTTCCAGAGAGCGGGGCACAGACACCTGAACCTCTTTCAAAGCACGTACTACGTCGTGGTGACGTTCTCCACGGTGGGCTACGGGGATATCGTGCCGGACATTTGGCCCTCGCAGCTCTACATGGTCATCATGATCTGCGTGGCGCTCATAGTGCTACCAACGCAGGTGCGTACTCGCCGCGCGTGCATGCGCACGCACGTACAGGGTGTAACAGCGACATATATATACCGACCGTATGACGGGCTGCTTGCCCCTATGCGGATGATAATGCAGAGGTTGCCGAAAAAGTCACTCGTTGACATTGTTGATGATGATACTTGCAGTGTTCCCAGTTGTGGCAGATGCAACTAACTTTGCACCGTGATCGTTGATGACAGTTTATCGACCGTTTACCGACAGGAGTCGAGTCTCATTGAATTAAAAAGTTGTTAAAAAGATGAAACTGAGAGATAAATATTACGGAATAAAGCAGAATAAATAAGAGTAATATTTAAAGAGATTTAAATAATACAACATATTTCCTGGTTTTGCATAATTTCTTAATTGTTTTCTCACGTTAGATAGTTCGATAGAAATTGGAGATTGGAAAGAACGATACGGAAATATTTAAAAGTCTTATATACTGTATTTCATCCATGTTCCTACAACAAATCGCTTCTGCAAAAGTACGAATAGACTACAAACGCAGTATACATATTGGTTGCAACTTAATCGACCGCAACTAACAAGCTCCAAAAGATTTCAAAAAACAGGCCCTATTTTTGATAAGAGATGCCAAGGTACACAAGATTATAATATACCGAAAATATGTCGCTTGATAGTTATACCGCGTTTCTAGTTCACATTCGTACTTTTACAGAAGCGATCTTTTGTAGAAACATGGATGACATATAGTATGTAAGACTTTTAAATATTTCATATCGTTCTTTCTAATCTCCAATTGCTACCGAACTTTTCAACATAAGAAAGCAATTAAGAAATTATGTGAAACCAGGAAATATGTTGTATTATTTATCTCTATAAATATTACTCTTATTTATTCTGCTTAATTCCGTTATTTAATATTATAATAATAAATTAATATTTATAAATAATTTAATATTAATAAATAATAAATTAATATTTATTTCTCAGTTCCATTTTTTAAACATCTTTTTTAATTCAATGAGGCTCGATTCCTGTCCGTAGACGGTCGATAAACTGTCACAACGATCACGGTGCTTTAAGTTAGTTGCATCATAACTGGGAACACTGCAAATATTATTATCAACAAAGTCAACGAGTGACTTTTTCGGCAACCTCTGCATTATCATCCGAATAGGGGCAAGCAACCCGTCATACTGACCTGTATGTTGCTGTTACACCCTGTACACACTCGTCTGTGTGTCTGTACAGGCACATATACAGGCGTGTATATATGTATATATATATATATATATATATATATATATATACAGAATTTGGGAAAGCACAATTTCAGGAAATTCTTTTGAATCGCGTCCGACGCGCAAACAGCGACGCGATTTGACGCGCGAAAATTCGCACTATGGTGCGCGAAACGGCCGCATTAAACTCGCGCTCAAGCGTATTCATTTCGCTCGACGCGACTCGCATTCTACGTTCCAGCATGCGCGACTGTTTTTTTTTTTTTTTATAGACGTTACTTTCAAGTCACGCCGCGTGCGTGGGGAAGCTCGCAAATGTAACCGGGGCTCGTCCATATCGCACGGCACGGTGACCGCCGCTATTACGGATATTTATTATTCCGGCGGTAGAGCATATATATAATGCTCTTATTTCTTGCGTAACAGACGGAGAAAATGTGCTTTTAGGGGAAGTCGCAAGTAATGTGCTGTACGCGATCGCGAAAAAATGAGAATTGCTCTCACGTTAGGAATATTCGACGGGAAGAGGCGATTTTATCTTTCCGCCTCTTCTTATCGAGAATATCGAGCGCACTTAATTACCGAGTTGTTTTGCATCTCTCATCTCGGCCGTTCCTCCTCCTCTCTCCCTCTCCCTTTCTCCCTCTCTCTGTCTCTCGCTAGCGAAAACGACGTTTGTTTGCTCAGCCGCTGACCACTTTAGTTTCTCGTGCCGGAAGAACCCGTAACGGGATGCAACGTAGATACATATTTGCGCCTACGTATAGTCTGTTATTTTCAAGAGAGAGAGAGAGAGAGAGAGAGAGAGAGAGAGAGAGAGAGAGAGAGAGAGAGAGAGAGAGAGAGAAAGAAAAAAGTGCGGCGGAGCTTGCAGGAAGAGGTTAACGAAGATTTGCTAACGAAGATTTGTGTGCTCCCCGAGATACGCGCTACCGTTGCAGGCAACTTTTCTTCCGCGATTGATCGCCGCTCGCAACTGAGAAAACTTTCCGCTCTATACCGGCCCCTCCCTCCTTCCCGCCCCTTCCGTCGCGTTGCCACGCGTCGAAGTCTCGTTAACGATGTTATTCGAGAATTACCTCGCTTCATATCGCGTTATTCGCCCTGAAACGCGACACACGGGGATACTCTCCGCGTAACTTTATATATATATATATACATATATACATATAGCACACACACACACACACACACATATATACACATGTCCAATCTATCATTGGGAGAGCTTTCATTTTATTAAAAAATTTTATCGTTACGAGCTCTGCTCCACTCTCTCTCTCTCTCTCTCTCTTACCCTTTTTTCTCTCTCTCTCTCTCTCTTTCCCTTCCTCTCTCTCTCTCTCTCTCTCTCTCTCTCTCTCTCTCTCTCTCTCCCTCTAATTCTCTCTATGCGTGTTACGACAAAAGCGCGACGTAAAGTTTCCCCGGAAAGAATCGAGCAACGAGAGCGCATGATGAGCACAAAACAATCGCGAGAGAACGATCAGTCAAATATACACGCCGTCGAGCCGACGATTAATCGTCGAATTGGTTTAGCGCTCAGCAGGAGAGAGGACTCGATTAGCTAAAGAATATTATTAATTACACAAAAGTACGATTCGCGTCTACTCATCCGTCCGCGTCGACTGATTGCGTAACGGCGCTCAACAGCGTAAAGCCTCGTCACTCGCTGTAATTTGTCTGTCAAATTGCCTGCCAATCGCACACACTGATATACATGCCAACTTGCGCGGGTCAACACGATGTGTCGATCCCCCTTTCCACACCGCGTCCCGCGTCCCTGCGTTTCTGCGTTTGATTAAATTCGGCGCTTTCGAGGGCACAGGATCGTCGATGGCCGGCGAGATGACGCGGATGCGTTTCAAAATAATTCAACGTGAAAGCTTATACTTTTGAGGAAGAGAGAGAGAGGGAGAGAGAGGGAGGGAGGAAAAAAGGAAAGGGGCTTCGGTTATTCCGGTCTATCAGTGCTGGAGTGACGAAGTTTGACAAGGACGATCGGAAACTTGCGAATGGGGACGCGTAGAATTTTAGTCGACAGCACGTAGACACGCGACGTGCACTGAGCTGACGTAGAATGTCGACAGACCCCATTAAAAGTATCGAATAATAAGCCCTTGTGTAGAGATGTGTGAATATTCGAATTCGAATCGGAGTCAAATACATTATCGTTTGCGTGCATCAGCTGCAAAACGGGCCATCTGAGTCTGTGTACGTTTGAACCCTTAACTCGTAACTAACTTAACTTATAATTAATAGTTTAATTACAAATTACTTTAAATATTTAAATATATATTTTACTTTAAGATGATATTTAAGGCAATATCAATATTCCCTCTCATCATTAAAATCTTCCATCATTATTGGCATGTTTAATAGCCATGTTAAATTTTTTAACGATTCGATTCGATTTCGTTCGATGCGATTCGAGTTCCAGTGAGATTTCATCGATTCGATTCGACTCGAATTCGAATTCGAAAAAAATGAGATTCGACTCGATTCGGTTCGGCATAAAAATTCTTGATTCGCACATCTCTCTCTCTCTCTCTCTCTCTCTACCCTTGTGTGAAATAACAGATCTCCCTGGGAAACTGACGACAATTAAAAGCGCGGAGTCAAATACGCGCGAGTAGTCTCCTTCCTCTCAATGGTATCGCGAAATTCGAAACATCCTCGAATCCTGCCGCGTCGCGTCGCGCACGGACGATCGAGCGAGCGTTGGAAAAATCGAGTTTCCCACGAATATTCGATAACCTCCCGAAGAAACAGTCGTTTTACAACTCTTTTTTACGAGGTGCTTCCCCCAGGCCGGGCTTTTTCTCTCGCGCTTTTGCGCGGACATTTTCGCCGTCCGTTAATCCGACGAAACAGAACGGAACTATATCTCGCAGCCGACCTCCCTCCTCCCGATTGGTTTCGTTACGGCTTATACAGCAGGCAGGCAGGCAGGCAGGCAGGCAGGCAGGCAGGCAGGCAGGTAGGTGCATTAGCCGATTGCATAATCGTTATCTCATATCGGTTGCAGTTCGAACAATTAGCTTTCACGTGGATGGAACGGCAGAAGCTGGGCGGCTCGTACTCGTCGCACAGAGCGCAGAGCGAGAAGCACGTGGTGGTTTGCAGCACGACGCTGCAGGCCGACACCATCATGGACTTTCTAAATGAGTTTTACGCCCACCCTCTGCTGCAGGTTAGGCTACATGAACGAATTCACGTTCTGCTGAATATTTCGCTTGCCTCGCACCTGCGACTTTGCACCTCCCTCCCCCCTCTCCCCCCCTCCCCCCCGACGAGTCTTCGTAAAAGAACTGCTCGTCGGGCTTCCGGCTCTATTCCGTGGTAGTTAAAGTAGATGGTGCGTTTAATTTGGGGCTCATGTCGTCGGGCTCGAATTTAATGTCGCGAGATGAAATCGGAGCGAAGCTCGCCCGGAGAGGTCCGACCAAGTCGACACGGGCTGCGCCTGTAAAATATAATAAACTAGAGTGCACACTCGTCGCGCGCGCGCGCGCGCGCTCTCTTCCTCTCTCAGCAGCGTCTATACATGACATTGAAAGAACTCGAAAGAATACGTGTACGAACGCAGAAATATGATATCGTGCTAATTAGTGGTTCCGTGGTGGAAAGGATAACCTTCAGAACTCGCGACCTCAATTTCGCCGAGAGATTCTCCCAGCGATTTCGAGATCATTCCTCTTCGGCGAGGATGTCTCAATTATTATCTACAGCGACCTTTCTTCATCCTCAGCACGACGTATCTTCGCGTAGCGCAAGGGGCTAAAATTCGAACTCGAAGTAAAATTCTAAACTCGATCTAATTCACGAGAAACTTTCGCGTTCTTCCGAGGTCCACTCGTGTCTCGGCGTCTGCCGATGATGCTGAGGCGTTTCCGCCGAGGACAGAATTCGCATCGAATCACTCGGAGGTCCTCTCTCGGGTCCTCCGAAGTGAGGGGCTCGCGAGTTCTCGCACTCGCGCTGTGCACACTACGCTTACACGCTCGTTGACCTCACCATTTTGCTGCCGCTAATAATCGAGCCGACTGCGAGCAGGATTATTATGTGGTGTTGCTGTCGCCGATGGAGCTCGACACGACGATGCGGATGATCCTGCAAGTGCCGATCTGGGCTCAAAGGGTCATCTACATACAGGGCTCGTGCCTGAAGGACGGTGACCTCGCGAGGGCCCGGATGAACGAGGCGGAGGCCTGCTTCGTGTTGGCGGCGAGGAATTACGCCGACAAAACCGCCGCTGACGAGCACACGATACTCAGGTCAGTGAGATCGGCGGGAAAACGATCGCGTGCGCTTCCGCGGTAAATTTCCGTTCTCGCTGCGAGAATCGCGCGGACTTCTTTTCATTTAAGTTCTACCCTTTCGGAGTTCGCACCGAAGCCAAAGTTGCCCCGTCGATCTTAATCGCTAAACTTCTCGCGCTTCTCCCGCTTGAATTCTAAGGCGCAGCTTGGAACACTTCGCGGCGCGGTACTCGCGATATCCGGAACAGGCCGTCGATCTTTCGACCGACTGCCCCGCGAAATTCTCAGCTGTGTTACTTACATCCAAGGAAGAGGGAACGTGTCGGAATTTCTCATGAGGACCGCATGATCTTGTGTTTCGCCGCAGATCCTGGGCGGTGAAAGACTTCGCGCCCAACGTTCCTCAGTACGTTCAAATCTTCCGTCCGGAGAACAAGCTCCACGTGAAGTTCGCGGAGCACGTGGTGTGCGAGGACGAGTTCAAGTACGCCCTTTTGGCTAACAACTGTACGTGTCCCGGCGCGTCCACGTTGGTCACTCTGCTGCTGCACACGTCCAGAGGACAGTAAGTTCCGTCCGAGAGCGCCTCCGCGGGACAATCGCTATTTAGTCAGGCGAGAGAGCCGCCTGCGTTGTTCAGCCGGTGGGCGTTGCTCGTCTCTTTTTTTTTTCGGTCGAGCGAGAGTGTAAATCTTAATGCGAAGCAAGTGACGACGAGAGCGCGCACTTCGCATCGCGCGTGCGGATACTTCATGCGCGTCCGCCGAGTGAGTAATTATTCAGCCGCATGTTCGGCTATCGAGTATTCCTCACGAGGATAGGTTCGTGCCGCGCAAATTTCAAAGTTCACGCGCAAATACGGGCGACGTGACGGGAGACACGCCGCGCTGCCACGAGCGAGCGTGAAATCGGAGGGGAAGTGTAAGAGGGCTCGGATATTTCTCTTCTCCACAGAGAAGGTCAGCAGTCGCAGGAAGAGTGGCACCGGCTGTACGGTAAATGTTCCGGTAACGAGATTTATCACATTATTCTCGGCGACTCCCGCTTTTTCGGGGAGTACGAGGGAAAATCCTTCACCTACGCGTCCTTCCACAGTCATCGGAAATATGGGGTCGCGCTCGTCGCAGTCAGGCCGGCGGAGCTTCCGGAATTTTACGAGGACACCATACTGTTGAATCCCGGTAATCTCGCAGCGCCAGCGCGCACTTGACATTTTGCCGCGCGAGCGCGATTTTTCGCTCGCCTTTATAAACAGCGAGGGGGAGGAAAATGTTGGACAGGGACATCTTCTCTCCCAGCGCCGAAATTTGCACGGAGAAGATGCTGTCGGATCATCAGAATTCACCAGCAGCGTCGTAATCGAGGCGCGTTGAGTCCTCTCGATCCGACGGCAATGTTGTTGTTGAAATGCTCGATGCTCGAGACAATATAAGATGCATCAGTCCCAATTCTATTAGGTGTGTGCAAAAAAAGGTTTTAGTTCTTTTCGGCTCTCTAATTTTATTAGAGTATTAGGTTGGTGCAAAAATAATTGCGATTTTTATCACTTTATGCTTGGCGCTGACTTTTCTAGTCTATCTTTTCCAGGATTCTATCTTGTAGGAATAAACAAACTTGTTTCCCGCTGGGAGAGATGTGTGCAGGCCGATGGTCTTTATTTTGATTACCAAATATAATTTTAACTGATATATGTGTACTTTGCATTTGATACGTAAAAACCGCAATTATTTTTGCACCTATAATCTAATTTTTATTATTTTGAATCGAAATCTTGTCCGAACAAATGCAGTGTCGAGTGTAAAATTTGTTGTCATTTTTTATATCAAACGTTATTTTTAATTGTGTGCACCAATGAATGATGGATAGAGTTTTAAGAAATTCAATGTCAACCTTACAGAGACACAACGGCGGGAGAATATTTCAATTTAGTAATTACATCAGAGAGAGAGAGAGAGAGAGAGAGAGAGAGAGAGAGCTAAAAACGAAACTAAGAGAAGAAGAACTTTTGCATGCGCCTGATTGCATCGCCGTTGAATCAAGTACGGCGCTGTCGGCCGATTCTATCGACGCAACAGCACCTCTTCCCTTTCGACCCCCCCCCCTTCCCCCGCCGAATCGGGCGCGTGAAATTCTTCTCGTTTCACGCAGGACCGCGGCACATAATGAAGAAGACCGATACGTGTTACTACATGAGCATCACCAAAGAGGAGAACTCCGCGTTCGTGGTGGCGAATAACCAGAGCGGCGTCGTCGGCGAGGGGATGCAGGTGATCATCGAGACCAAGACGGACGCGACGTGTACGAGCGGCGGCCCGACGACGTGCGCGACGACCACCAGCACCACCACGGCGACCATGAACTCCACGGGGACGACCACGACGACCTCCACCACCACCACTACCACCACCACCACCACCACCACGATATCGACCAGCTGCATCGTCGGCGGCGGTGGCGGCGACGGGAACGGTACAGCAATCAGCAACGGTGCCGACGCGCACCAGCGATTTTCCAACAGTTGTAACGTTGCGCTGAGCGAAACACTCCGCAGGCAGGAGACCTGCACGGGGCCCCGTGCGCAGGACCGCTCGCAAAACGGTCCCCAAGGTCACAGGGCCCCGTTGCCGCCGCAGGTTATTTTGCAGGTCCTCCCTAGCACGCCCACACCAATCCAACACCACAACTTACTCGCATCCGATGTCCACCGTGAGTGTCGCATGCGCATTGCTGCTTCTTCTTCTTCTTCTTCTTCTTCTTCTTCTACTTCTTCTTTTTCTTTTGGTTTTCTTTGTTTCTCTTCTTCTTCTATTATTACTACTTCTTCATCTTCTTCGATTTTGCCTAACCAGAAACCAGGTACGAAGGATTAGTGACTCGAGACGAGTGTATGATCGCGCTCGACCGCGAGCTCTTCCGTAATTCCATGCGCGCTTTTGATTTCTTTTTTCCTATTAGATTTATATTGTTTTGGTACACTTGGTTATACGACGTTGGTAGGCTTCATAGTATAGCGTAGTGAAATGTAGCCTGGAAAGTCTTCTTTTGGCGCTCCGTTAGAAGCTCGAATCTCATCGCAGGCAGACACACGTACACTCACACGAGACACGCTCGCTTTCGTGCTGTGAATGTAGAGCCGAGGCGATATAATTGATGAGACAATGAACGTCGCTTCCGAGAATGGAAGGAACGACCGTGATTTCTGGACGCGAGATACTCATACCGATTTCATAATTCGTCGCTTTCGTCCCTTTCAGTTCAGGCGACTTACCGCCTCGTCGTCGTCGCCGTCGCCGTCGTCGTCGTCGTCGTCGTCGTCGTCGTCGTCGTCGTCATCGCAGTCGTAGTCGTAGTCGTGACTCAGACTCGCCCGTACGATGTACCGTTCCACTATAAAATGAAGTTACGCAGAAGACCGAGGACAATAGCGCGTGTCGAATCGTACGCGCGATTAAATCCACAGGCAGTGTTGACTGACGATAAAGCGCCCGAAACGTCCGGCCGTTCCTTCCTTTTCACTCGCGTGTCTTTTCCGACGGTATTCCTGTGTGCACGCGCGTGCGCGTGCGCGCATGTGTGTGTGTGTGTGTGTGTGTGTATGTGCGGTTTACGCTTGCACGTTCGCTTTACGTGTAATCCGCGCGTGTACGCGCCGCTGTTCGCCCGCTATTCAGCGCTCGCCATCAACGACTCTCTCGATAAGCGCGACTTTTGAATAGGAAACCGCGGGATTGTGCCGTAAAATATTGTCCCTCGCTCGCTCCATTACGAATCCATGCTTGGCATTTGAACTAACCCGCCATGCGGCAGCTCTCGCGAAGCGCGAACTGATCCGGATTGAACGACAAGCTCGAATGCCATCCAGGTTGGATGGTCGCGGCTGCAAAGTCCGGAGGAGAGCCGAGGAGAAGGAGAGCGAGAGACATACACAGCGAGATGTTTTCAAAGTCGCGCACTACGTATCACATTTTCTCTTGCCGCCGGCGCGAGACTCGTCCTTTCTTAGCAAGGTCGATAAATCGTGTTTTTCTGCTTTCTCAATGAGGACGAATTTTCCGCGACGGCCTGCGTCATCTTTGCTCCGCGCGCTTCTGGCTCTTCGTCGTTTGTCAGTCGTACCGGACCGGACGGGTTCTTTCGATCGGCGATTGGCGATTTTGCAAAGCCGTTGAACATCGCGCGGCTTGATATCAGAGTCGCTGATCGCGCTCGGCTTTACATGTTGCAGCGACTTATCTCGATCCTGGAGGATTCGGGGACTCGAGGCAGTGTCTAAAAGAGGGAGGATCGACGCCGCAAACGCCAATCACCGGAAATCACCTCGATGTGCCACGGTCTCTCGACCCGAATCCCAATCTGCTTAGCCCGGAAATTCTCACTCAAAGGAGAGGTCAGTCGTTATATCGATAGCAGCCCCGCCGCCGGCCGAATCCATTTCCGATACGAATACGCCGCGACGATATTTCTCCCGGTTTCCTTCGTGGTCGTGAAAGTAAAGATATGAAACGGCTGCCTTCAACTCCGTTAAATAACAAGGCGCGGGCTACTGCTCGGTGCTCGTAGCGCCTCGTTAGAAGCGGGCAGAAAAAAAGAAGAACCGTTCGAGTTCTCTCCGCAAGAGATAAGTCGTATATTAAGCTTAAGCGCGAGCTTACCAGCTAACAGATTTAAGTTAACGACGAGACTGGAATCTGTTTAAAGGTCACCGCGCGCGGAGTTTAAAGGACACCATCTCCGCGACATAATTCCGCTGAAAGTGCCGTCCTCGTGCAGTTGACACACTTTCGCTGCGTGTGTAAAGTAGTTCGAAGCACTTCTTCTCCTCCTTCTTCTGATAACTAGTTTCGCTCGCAATGTTTCAGGGAGCAGAAGACCGAGTATTCTGCCGGTACCGGACATGCTAACCAGCTCGACCTTGCACCTGCCCGGTCAAGAGTCCTTGGACCACGAGGGCGACGAGTCGGAAGACGAGATGGACGACGACGTTCCCTGGCGATCGCCGAGCGAGAAGATCGCGTAAGTATGTTTTGTCATTTCTTCTTCTCCTTTCTTTTCCTCGCCACTCATCGACGTGGCGCATCACGTCCGAGGATCCGAGTGGACGTATCCTTGACGATTATAGCAGCACGAAGGAGAAAGGTCGTTTGACATTTATTAGAAAGTCCGTCTCAGTCGAGTAGAGAAAATTATTTATTAGCGGGAATCTGCCTCCTCCTTTCTCTTCTTCCGATTTGTTTAATATCTCTGTTATGAATTTACATACATATACAGGAGGGTGTCCGGGATCTTTTGGAAGCGAAAAATTGTGAGGATTAATCAGATCAGACTGAGAAGAAAAGTCAAGTACCATTTCGCAAAAATTGCAACAGCTGTTAAATTATTAATAACTGAGGATGACCACATCTAAAAGCTCTTTTAATTGATAAATTAAAAATTTATCTACTTATGTGCAAAGTGGTAAAGGACCTTTTTGTTCAGAATCATCTAGTCTACGATTATATGACGGCTATTGCGACAAGTTCAAGATTCAGCGTTCAAAGTTCAATACATTCAAATATCTATCGCTAATCACAACCGTCATTTAATCGCAGATTAGGTCATCCTGCATAATATGTTTTCATTCCGAACAGAAAAAATTCTGTTGCAAATTTTGCAAATAAGTACGCAAATTTTCAAGTTATCAATTAAAAGAGCCTCTAGATAGCGGTCATTTTCAGTGATTAATAACTTAATAACTTGATAACTTAATAACTTAACAACTATCGCGATTTTTGCAAACTGATATTTACTTGACTTTTCAGTTTGGTCTGATTAATCTTCACAATTTTTCATCTTTTTCCAAAAGATCCCAGACACCCTGTATACAAATTTTACAGCACGATCGTAAGATCCTCCGAAGAGAAAACAATCTCGCACTCTTATCTCGTGCACCTGCATGACGCGGTCTTGTGCATCGAATTGTTAATGTGCATTACATATATATATATATATATATATATATATATATCTATATCTATATACTTTATATCTCTATGCATACTGAATGTATTTTATACATATATATTTTTTATATATTTGCACAACGAGATTACGAGATATTCGAGGAAGACTAGTAAAAGAGGATCCTGATGTTGACGCGGCACTTTCAATCTCGTCCGTTTTCTTTCTCATTTGCATACGCGTCATATTGTACCGGCACGATATTATACATCTCGTCTACGAACTTGACGAGCAAGACGGAGAATTTGGCAAAGTCTGAAATTTCGTACTTCTCGGTAGACCGTCACGCCTCGCCTATCTGACAATGAAAGAATTCAAAGCGACCTTTTCACCGTTTTCAGCGGGCCGCCATTCCCCGCGATCCTCTTACTCGATTAACTATACGGCTCTTTGCGTGCTATCCCCCTCGCACACATCCCACGCACTTTTGCCGCGCGATTTACGTGCGCGTGTGCTTCGCGCGAGATGCGCCTCGAAAAGTAACGGCACGATGCAGACCTCTTTTCTCTTCCCATTCTTCAAGTTGCATCTGTCAGCGCTGAATTCTGTCTTACCTTACCGTAAAATCTCGCTGAAAGAGCCTCCCACGGGCTCGAGTTGGGCGCGGGGTTACCCGTGTCCTCCTGAGGAGAAAGATGGGGTACGGTCGTACCGGCTCGACGCGCGCGCTTTTAATTTAATGACCTCGTTAGTACTAAAACGCGGACGCGTCAAGAGGCCACCACGATCGTATCGTCCATCCGCTAACCACCAGAGTGGAGAGAGGGTGAGGGGAGGGGGGGGAGAGAGAGAGAGAGAGAGAGAGAGAGAGAGAGAGAGGACGATTACGCGGGTACCTCCGCGCCGTGAGTTACGCGAGTATGCACCGTGCACGCTCCTCGATGCATTCTTATCTTAATCTTAGATGCTCTCGATGCCGTCATTGTCTCGTCGGTAGGACAGCGAATTAGTCGTATCTAAGAACCTTCCGGCGCCGCGCGCACGTCGCGCCGGTCGTACGTGACAACGAAATACGCGCGCGACTCGTTCCACGCGCAATTACCGCGACGACGTTAATGAGTCCTCGTCTGTTTGCGGATCTCTCGCTCGCGGAGTTGTCGCGGATATCAGAACGACGTGCGACAAGTGGGGAACGCGCGACTTCGTCGCGTCCTTTCTCGATGCGTTTCACTCGACTAGATTCGGCTAGGGCTCTCTCTAGTGTAATGCTCGTGTATAGTTTAGCAACGCAGTATATATTCTGTCTGAGGTATCTTTACTCCCCTGAAATTGCTTCGAGCAGAATCTGACCGGAAATGAGCGGGCGAACTCGCGAGTCCGTTAAACTGGCGCGTTGATCGTTTGAGGCACAGTGCTAAGTATATTTACAGTCTGTGAAGCAAGAGCGTGCACGGGTTAATGTGTAGAAAAATTTATTTTTAATGATTTTCAAGTACACGCATTTGTTGTACTCCATGAGAAGAAACACGCTACACCATTAATAATGAGTCCAGTCACCACCGGCATTGATAATTGCCTGGCATCTCCGAGGCATACTTTCCACTAAGTTGACTGCGTATTCGTTCGGTAAAGACCTCCAAATGAGACAAATTTGTCGTGTCAGCTGCTTCGAAGTGCACACTCTTTTTCCTCGAAGCTTGCGCTTGAGATACGCTCACACATTTTCAATGGGACTTGCATCTGGCGACTGCGATGGCCAATCAAGTGTGTGACGATGCCAGGACTGCTCTTTCCACTCGGTGCAAAGCTTGCTCCGGTGTTTTGGGTCGTTGTCTCCCTGTAAGATCCAGTCCTCGTTTTTTTTTTATGAAGCATCGTTCAGCAGTCGGCAGCAAACACTTCTCATAAATTTTAAACATTAAGGTCGGGTTCCGCTTAGACAAATTCACAATTTTTTTTCCATATTCGGCGTCACCTTGCCTATCGAGCGCCACGTTCTGGCAAGTCATCGACATTTTTGATCTTCTTATATTGCTGAACCCACTTAGCGACGAACGATTTTGACTTTCCCATGTATTTAGCAGCCACTGCATATGACATTTTTGGTCCTTTGGGGTGGGAACAAAGGAACACAGCTTTGTAGCGCGATGCGTATGCGGCACTCATGGCGGTTTAACGTGTTTCTCGGGTTAGAGTTCGACGCCAACCGAATCTTTTGTGACAAAGCATTCACGAGAAAGATTTCATCTATCGGCTCACAGAAAAACTAGAACGATGTTTGAAGCCAACTACCATTTATGCCGTACACGCTCTTACTTTACAGACTGTACCACCTATTTATTCTCACATTTTCATGAAATATATATAACATACATGAAAGGTTGAAAAGTGTTTTGCATAAGTTGTCCATTTATTATAAATAAACAAAGTGTGAAAAATACACATTTTTACAGAAAAAATAATTTCCCACGAACTATGAGTGAATTTTTTGCTCAAAATCAAGATTTAGGGATTTTTTGGGTCGCTGATTACGAATCTGACGTCCAAATTCCAAAATTAATTTTCCAAGATGGCGGATCATAGAATTTTTATTAAATTAGCTAAAATTGTACACTGGTTAGTTTTTGAGGTCGCTGATTACAAATCTGAGGTCCAAATTCCAAAATTAATTTTCCAAGATGGCGGATCGTAGAATTTTTATTAAATTAGCAAAAATTGTACTCTGATTAGTTTTTCAGGTCGCTGATTACGAATCTGATTATGATTACGCTGATCACGAGGTCCAAATTCCAAAATTACTTGTCCAAGATGGCGGCCTTTCCAGATTATCGCCATTTCTCATATTCGTGGCCGCCATCTTGAATCTGCCATCTTGAATCTGCCATCTTGAATTTTGAAAATCTGACAACGGATTCGTAATCAGCGACTCCAAAAACCCCACAATACCCATTGTCACCGAAATTATCGCGATTTTTCATTTTTGCGTCCGCCATCTTCGATCCGCCGTCTTGAATTTCGAAAATCTGACAACGGATTCGTCATCAGCGACCCCAGAAACTTCCGTATGTAAATTTTCATGTGATCCGGATTTTCTGAAAAATACGTGCCTCAAAGGGTTAATTTGCCGCCAATCTACTGCCAATCCCCCGACTTCAGTGTCTGAACGACATTTATAGCGACTCAAAACGGAGCTGCCAATTTATGACGGTAGAGATACAACGGCCACTCGGAGTCGCAAGGGTGATTGTTTCGCTGAATGTCCAAGTGAATTCTTCATCTATGTGTCGAGCTCAAACTTGGAGTGGATTCTTATGATCCGTTCGAGTGGACGTTTCAATCGACTAGAGCGAGTCCCAGACGGCGGGGATTCACTCCTCCAGTGCCGAAGAGAAATATTCGCCCGTCGACTCCGAGTGGAAGAATTCACACGGAGCGAAAGGTCGCTCGGTCTCGGCTGTCGCTCCGGTTCTCGAGTGAAATTTGGCTCGGAGAAATTTCAGGAGTACATAGATGAGGAAGCTTAGCGACATAGCGCCGAAGTAGGAGTCCGCTTAGCTCGGGGATAGACTGACCGGCTATCTTTGCAGAGACCCTCTTCTTTTCCTTTCTTTTTATCTTTTTTTATCTTCACCGTATCGCGCATTCACTTCTGTCCGTTCACGTGGCGAGAGTCGTCCCGCTGCACGCCGGACGCGGCCGTTCCGCTCGCGGCTGCGGAGAAACGTCTCGTGCAGGCGCAGACCGGGTCTGCTTTATCAGTTTCCGAACCGTTTAAGTATAATCGTGCAAGTCAATGGTTTGATGTGTCCTGTCTCAATGTCTCTCGATGCCTGTTTCACTAACGGCACCGGACGGTGCCGTTGAATCGCTGCTCGATGCTGTCCTGCCTGACACCCTATATGTCCTCCATGGATGTTTTCGATGTCTTCCTTCCTGCATCGTCCTTGTACACTGCCGTCTTGCCGCACGATCTCCGTCCAGCAGCTTCAAAGGGTGAGTCCTCTCTCATTTTTTTACGCTTTTACCACATCTCGGTGAATTTGGCTCGCTTGTCCATTTTTTTTCTCAGGATATATCTCTACATAGTTTGTACACACACACACACACACACATACACACACACACACACACACACACACACGTATCTTGATCTTAGCTTTATACTCGATTACTGCGGTATTACGATAGTTCTCACGTACGTAACGGTATGTGTAGGCTATAGAGCCGAACCGAGGGAAGTCGCGCTCGGTAGAGATGGTATTTATGTAACAACATGGTAATAACTCGTATAATGCGACGTGTTTATGTAATAACGTCGAAAATGGCGGCGTCCCTCCCGGTAATCTCGCGCTAGTAATACTCGCAATGCGAATCGCCGATATCGTGCGGTCTCTCGACGACGCGCCGGCTAGTCCAAAAGGGATTTCATTAAAGGGAGATTAATAATGACTGAGAATGAGTGTCGCAATTTCACGAGCAAGAGAGAGAGAGAGAGAGAGAGAGAGAGAGAGAGAGAGAGGGAGGGAGGCTCGAGACTACACGTATGTCGAATGTCATCAATTCCGTCCCGCGTTGCTTCCGAGCGCTCCGGCGCAATTAATCGTAGATATAAATTACGGGCGACAGCGGCGCGACATGGCGAATGTTATAAATGTTTTCCGGTCGGACACGAGACTATCGCGATATCGGCCACTATTCCCACGCATCGCGTGGCCTCGAATCGCGTGACGTAACGAGACTCGCGGGACCTCGCGAGGCGGTGTGAAGCCACCCGCCTGTCTTTTCGTCCGCCGTCTTCGGCTCCCGGGGGTTCCCGGGGAGATCGGCGAATAACGTCCGGGACAGCCGAAATTGAGCCGTCATGTCGCGAGTCTCGGAAGAATCAGCGCGCGTGCGACCGCGACTAATGCAAAGCGCGACATGATTAGGGTTGCCAGAATGCGAAATGACTCCGTTCCCGGGACATTTTTTAGGCGACGGTTAGGCGAAAAGTAGGTTGTTAGAGAATTTGTTAGTTAAATTTGTAAGATGGAGGAGTAAGACGGAGCTGCACTCGCTGCAACAAACAAATGCGTGAATTAGGCGCCAGCAGGGAGAAGTTCGGACATAAACCGTATTTTTTGCCACGATAACGATCTAGTTGACATCAAGTTTCTCAGGTGGCAGGTCGAAGAATTCGATCCTACAAATCGCGGTGGCCGCGATCTCAAGCTCCTCTCTGGTATCAATTAGAAACATGAATGTTACGATTATGATTCTGTTGAAATTTTGATTTTCCGGGACAGAAGACTTAAATTCCTACACAAATCCCGGGACAAGCTTGAGAATTCCGGGACATTCCCGAAAATCCCGGCCCTCCGGAAAATCTGGCAACCCTAGACGTGATCGTCCCGTGATTTCAAGCGGATGGCGGCGGGAGAGACACGCGCTGCCGGGTGTAGCCTTCACCTCCTGGAGCGGCCTCCGCCCCCCTTCTCCTGAGCGCCGTTCATTAATAAGAAACAACGTCGGCGGAGTTTAAGTATCGTCACGGCAGAGACGTCGCGGCGCGTAATAGAATTTCGACGATGTTGCAGGATCGTCAAGGGATTCCCGCCGGTCTCGCCCTTCATCGGAGTCTCGCCGACCTTGTGCTACCTCCTGAAGGAAAAAAAGCCGCTCTGTTGCCTTCAACTGGCTCAGGTATATTCGGCAGGCGATCGCCGGCGACGAGAAAAAGAACGGGATAAAAGAGCTAAGACAAAAGCACACATCTCCGACAATCAGATCCTTCTTAACACTCACGATTCTGTCTCGGTCGTTTTCTCCACCAGGTATGCCAGCATTGCACCTATAGGAACGCCAAGGAGTACAATTGGCAGAACAAGACCATCATATTGGCGGCGGATTATGCTAGCAACGGGATTTACAACTTTATAATACCGTTGCGGGCGCACTTTAGGTAGCTGTCACATTTGATCCTTGATGCTCTTTAAATGCGCGATCCTTAAACGCGCGCGCGCGCGCGCAAACATTTTATATCCACGATATGCGTGCCGCGCTGAGGGTTAAGAAGAAGGCTAGCCGTTGCTTGATACGAGACGAACGCGCGAGCGGAGCTGGCGGGTAATTAACGAGCGCGGTCGTTTGCCAGGTCGAAAACGTCGCTGAATCCGATCATCCTCTTGCTGGAGAGGAAGCCGGAAATCGCGTTTCTCGACGCGGTGTCCTACTTTCCACTGGTCTACTGGATGCGAGGCTCCATCGACTGCCTGGACGACCTCCTACGCGCCGGCATTACTCTGGCCGAGAACGTCGTGGTCGTAAACAAGGAACTCAACAATTCCGCCGAGGAGGACACACTGGCTGATTGCAACACGATCGTCGCGGTGCAGACTATGTTCAAGTGAGTGTGTCTACCTTACTTTTACTACCGCTCATCCGGCATATCAAGTCACCCGCCGGCCGAAGCTTTCTCGAGCGATGTCTCTCGCTCCCGCGTTCACGGTTGACACTTTCGCCGAAACGCGCTGCCAAGTGCGCGTTTTCAGCCGCGAACGCGCGCGTGAGATCCTGATCCTTGGCTCAGCTTAGTCCAGAGATTTTCAACCGGTATGCCGCGGCACAATGGTGCGCCCGCCGTGAGAGGATCTAAGATATGCCGCGAAAATTTTTAAGAATTTTAATTGTCATCTTTTCATTACAATTATTATAATAAATTGTTTTGTTTCATTCCTTGTCCGTGATGGTGCATTTGGTTTGCGTTGATAAACAAATCAAAGAAGATATATTCTTCTCGTGATCATCATAATTTATGTGTGCCGCGGAAGATTAACTGTCAAGGTCCAAGTGCGCCGAGTGAGATGAAAAAGGTTGAGAAACACTGATCTAGGGCCTGAGGAGAAGCTCGTCGCGTGTAATACCACGACGCGACCAGCTCGCGTCTCTTCGGCTTCGGGGAAAGAAAGACACGTCGGTGTCCGCGCGAACCTCGCGCTCGCCGCCGAGGTCCGTCCAAGTCCGAACACCTGTAAAACTCATTCTTCCTGGAACAGATTCTTCCCGAGCATAAAGAGCATAACGGAGCTGTCCCAGTCGAGCAACATGCGCTTCATGCAGTTCCGGGCGCACGACAAGTATGCACTGCATCTCAGCAAAATGGAAAAGGTACTCCTCAGTGCTACTACCGATGACAACTACTCCGATGAGCCTCCGATGGGCTCCCCGGTAACACGATATCACTCTCTGACCTCTCTGATTGATAATGGATTGACTGATTGTTGAATTGATTGATCGATTGACTACCAAACATCTCCGACGTTGTCGTCGCTCTCTCGTGCCGCGTCGCGCGCTCGGCCGCTTCTCTCGTCGAGCCACTCGACGACTCAAAAATACGTCTCATCAATCACGGGATCGGCACCCCTTCCTCCTCCTCCTCCTCCTCCTCCTCCTCCTCTTCCATCCCTCTCCCGCTGCGCCGTATGGGTGAATATTATTAGATTCGCGATCGGTAAACAACAATCGCCGGTAATGGGAGAGAGGACGAAGCTTTTACCGCCGCGGCGCGAGCTCGCGGGAATATCGCCGTCTCCGTCGCATTCACGCCCCACTTCGCATTTCGTTCTAACCGCGATATACTTGTGTGTTTATGTGTATATATACACGTATATATATATATATATATATATGTACATTCACCTACGTAGCTTTTATACAAATCTAATTTCGGCGGATATACGCTTGCGGTTACGGGAGAGACTCGGGAGAGACGCGTTCCACGATTGCCGACCTCGTAAAGTCACGGCGTTCGCGCCGTCGTCGTTGGAAGTAAGCGGAAAGAAATTACGAGAGCAAAGTCGCTCCGCGCGCGCGGAAAGCACTTTGCTCTAAGTGTTGCTTTCCTCGTGTTGCCGTCGCTAGTGCTGCTGCTGCTGCTGCTGCTGCTGCTGCTGCTGCTGTCTCCGCCGTCGATCTCATCGCGTTTGAGTTTGCTTGGCCGACACCTCCGCAGCATCACTTTGTCCCCATCGACGCGGCGAGAAAATCGAGACGAATTCTTTCTAATAGAAACCCCCGAGAACCTCCCCCTCCCCCGTGGCGCGTAATTGCATTACGCGAGCCGGCGAGTTCGTCTCATTATGCTCTTGTCGATTGCCTCGACGCGCAGGGCTCGGCCTGCTGCGTATCAGCCGACGAGATGAACCTCCTCACTTCTATCCACGGGGTCGGATTAGAGAAGCCGCCGGCTTTCACGCCAATCGTCGCGACGGAGCGCGAATTGACCGACCGCGAGCTTGCGTACGTCCCGCGAGAGCGACGACAACGTGGATAACACTGATGACTCTAAAAACTATCTAGTAGAGATAGCAGTCACTTCAAGTTAATCTCGATGCATGGGTCACGACGATTCTGTGCTTTCCTGGACACTCACGCACAACGTCCATTGTATACTTCCGCTCACCGTCTCGACGCACTGCACGATACGGCGACGGCACAATTGCGCGACAATTGTCTCCTCTCTTCGGACACTGATTGCCTGATTGCAGAGCACGCGCGCGTGCGACTAGCAGCACGGTGACTCATGCCTTGAAATCGACACCGCTTACGTAGATTAGAATCCTCCCGTGTGGAGTGTCACTTTCACTTTACTTTGCCACCTGCAAGCCAAGTACAATTTCTTTTCGTGCATCGTACCTGCAGCATGACACGTATGTCAGTATCTCTGCTACTCTCTCTCTCTCTCTCTCTCTCTCTCTCTCTCTCTCTCTCCCCCCCCCCCCTCTCTCTGTCTCTCTGTCTCTCTGTCTCTCTCTCTGTCTCTGTCTCTGTCTCTGTCTCTCTGTCTCTCTGTCTCTCTGTCTCTCTGTCTCTCTGTCTCTCTGTCTCTCTGTCTCTCTGTCTCTCTGTCTCTCTGTCTCTCTGTCTCTCTGTCTCTCTGTCTCTCTGTCTCTCTGTCTCTCTGTCTCTCTGTCTCTCTGTCTCTCTGTCTCTCTGTCTCTCTGTCTCTCTGTCTCTCTGTCTCTCTGTCTCTCTCTCTGTCTCTGTCTCTCTCTCTGTCTCTGTCTCTGTCTCTGTCTCTGTCTCTGTCTCTCTCTTTCGTCTCACCTACGACCTTCGAAACACAATCTTTGAGTGCTATGCTACGTGTGACGGATGTGCTCGTTTGAAAATTGCACTGTACATGACGATCGTTCATAGATATCTATTTGCCTCTTTCTCTCCCCCCCCCCCCTCTATCTCTGTCTCTATATCTACCTGTCTATCTCTCACGTAACGTAATGATAATTAGGTGTATGAACGAATTGTTGATCGTGCATAATGTAATCAGACATGTGGCTTAAAGTCGAGAACAACGGATGCTGACCGCGTCGCCGATGTGATCCTCCGTGCCGTCCCGGCGCGGCGGAGTCGAACGAAATAACGTAAATCGGTCGTCGTCGATCGATGTGCGTGCGACAATGCGCGTGCAGACGATCGATTATCCCGCGAAGTGCGCGCGAAACAGCCATTGGCTGCTTCGGCTGTAAGCCACAGAGAGAGAGAGAGAAAGGGAGAGACATCGACCTAAGTCTCTCTCTTGTTACTCGTTAAATATCACTCTCGTCGGCTGATATTTGCGCAGCACGACGATTTAGGCGCATTAACGGGCCGACGTGTGTGCTATTCGCAGAGGGAGAAGGAAAGGGGCTCCCATATATCGTACATGTTTCGACTGCCGTTCGCTGCCGGCAGCGTCTTTAGCGCCTCGATGTTGGACACTCTGCTCTACCAAGCCTTCGTCAAGGACTACGTGATAACGTTTGTCAGGCTGTTGCTAGGAGTGGACCAAGCGCCGGGGTCCGGCTTTCTCACGTCGGTGAGTAGTGACCGGGAGATCGATCTCGCTAACGATCGGCAACTCCTTGATCCTTCATATCCTGAATTAATTTATCTAAGACCCTATTAAATTAAAAAGAAAAAAAAGAAACTTAATTACACAAAAAATTGTCGTCACTCTTAACATGCTATACAGACATAAGGAATGGGAAAATAAATTTTCTAACGATTTAATGATTAAAATTTTGGGCCGGTACTCATAAATATCGAGAGGAATGTAGGATAAGACAGAAAAGCTGAAAAACATATGATCGTTTGTATAAAGCGGTATTTTTGAGTGCCGTCGGGATATAAAGGGTTAATTATGATGAGGAGACGAATGAGACGACGATCACCATCGACGACGGTGATTGCAGATGCGCATAACGAAGGACGACATGTGGATCAGGACGTACGGCAGGTTGTACCAGAAACTCTGCTCGACCACCTGCGAGATCCCGATCGGAATCTACAGGACGCAGGACACCACCGTGGCCGACTCCTCGCATGTAAGCACGATTTCCCAGCTGGTCGGCAGCGAGTGCGAGTGAGCTAGCCGAAGTAGTTTGTTCATTTACTTGTCTATATTCTCTTATAAGAACAGGACAAGATCTTTGAATGGCGGCTGTGAGTAGCGCGCATGTTTGTGCTCTCGCTCTCTTTCTTTCGTAGTTTCTCGCCCAACCAGCCCGTATCTCTCTCTTCTTCTCTCCTTCCCTCCCTCTTTATCTCTCTTTTTTCTCGTGTGTCACTCCTTGGCCCAATCCTCGCCGCGCTCGTAAGTTTGTTTTCTAATATACGCGGGGCCGGGGCGAGCGTCTCTTGCATCTTGTGACGTAACGAACCGACTGTCATAGCACGTTATCTCTCTCTCTCTCTCTCTCTCTCTCTCTGTCTTTCTTTCTCTCATCCCTTACTCCTACCGGCCGTCTCTGTACGTATCTTGAAATTCTGCATCGTGTTAGACTCTTTTAGTGTGTGCTCGCGACACGCTTGACCCGTTCGGCGACACTTTCATCATCGGCGGCCTATATAATCGATCGAATTATACTCGGACCGACCGGATAGAGTCCACCGCTGCAATTATACCGTGCCCACCTTCATCTAAGTCCCTAAATGCGCGCGCTGCGCTCGGGGGTGACACGCGCGAGAGACACGGCGCGACACGCCCGTGCCGACCGAAACTCGCTCCTCGGCATCGGCGATGCGCTATCATTAGTAAGGGTAGAAATTGCTTGTCGTTTTAGCAGGGCGACTCAGACGCGGAAAGCGACGCCGGCGTCGGTGTGACGTACAAGGTGCGTCATTCGGCGGCAGCATCGTGTCTTGCGAATTGCGCCACCCGCGACAAGGGTGCATCTGCTGTGAGTAAAATGTCGACGTGGTGGCTTGTCTTTTTCTTCTCTCCTACGGCCGTTTTGTGTCACTTCGCCTGTCAGATTCTATCACCGCCTCTCTTTCTCTCTGCTCTCTGCTCTCTGCTCTCTGCTCTCTTGCAATCCGCTCTGCTCACTCCTTTCTCTCTCTCTCTCTCTCTCTCTCTCTGTTTCTCCTCTTTCTCCCTCTTTCTTCCCTCTCACTCACGTTCTATCCGATGGACATCCAGACTCATCTGCCACAGCACAGCAGCGCATGCGAAACACCGTGACGTTGCATCCTCGATCGACCACGTTCTTATCAGGAATCTTCGATCGCTCTCGCCGAGCTCGAAGCCGTATTCTTATGTATCGCGTAGATTTAAGGACACAATCGAATGCAACACCCCCGACCGATACCGATAGAAGGTGGCTGCGACGGTGGTGGTGGTGGTGGTGGTGGTGGTGGTGGATGCTGCAATACGTCGCAGCAGCCGCGTTTGTTAAACCACTTGTTGCACTTGACGCATGATGGTGATAAATGTGTATGTATGTGTGCGCGCACGCGTGTGTGTATTCGTCCAATTTTGATCTTGTTGCACACGACGATGTTCAGTGAACGATAGCTGACCGAATGTTTCGGAAAACTTACGACTATCGAGCGTGCAGTTATCTGATTGGCAGTAAATTGACCTCCGATACAGGGATGATCTCGTTAGCTGAAAACACGACCGATGATGATATCGAACGGAGATTGAACTCGCGCGATTAATCGTCGGTTTATTCTCGAGTTCAAGACCGCGTAATTGGCCTGTGATTTAGACGGCCCGATCGCCGTCTCGGCGGAAACGGGACAGTCTCAGCTTTCGAACGCATTTTGTTTCACGCCGCTACGACCGTCCTACACGGAGATATCGACGAGCGGCGAATCCTTTGTCGGCGATCGTGGTTTGGCTACAATGTTGCGCCGCTCCTTCTCAGAGAGACGGTGTCAAGTGCGGCGCGCCAATTGGCAACAATGTACCGTCACGGCGGCAACAGAGGAGGAGCGGCGCTCGCCTCTCGTAGAAACCAGAAAACTTTCGAACGCTCATATCTCAGTAGAAAATTGACGTGAAACAAACGCCATTCTTCTCGTAGCGGCTCTTCGCGTAGCGTACCTTTGTAATCATCACGTGTGATCATCTTGTCATGACAAGTGCTCGCGTGTATAATTACGACGCGTGTTTACACACGATGTATTGCTCGCGTGAAAGGATGCCAGGGGCCCTATTCTTGAAGTACTTGCGTATACGTAAGTGGCAAGGGTTTCGACTAATCGCAGTGGAAAATCCCTAGAAACCGTATTCTTGACAGTCGCAAGTGAAACGTATACGCAAATTATCATTCGCGATGCAACGAACGGCTGATACCATTCGTTTCTCTCGAAACGTATGCGATGCGTTGTGCAAAGTACAGAAAGTGGAGTGCAAGAGTACACATATTTAGTAGAAGCGCACTGTTATTAAGAAGAAGAATAATTCAACGCCAAGGCGGCTAAAAGAGTGGAAAATAATAGCTGACTTTACATATCCGTAAGAGAAATAATAAATACGAAATTTAAGAGAAAATAGCACATAAATTTCACTGCATTTTAATTATAGAGTAAAATTGTGTAACAATAATGGATTTAGATATAATCGTAAACATACCAGTTATAAATGCGTTAGAACATGCCGAAATAATGGAGGAACCAACAAGATGTTTCCATATTAGTTCCACATTAGTCCCATATTTTCCACTTTGTTCTGCTGAACGCAGCCAATTAAAGTTCGTCGTATCGTATTTTCGGAATCGATATTTGCAGAAAGTACATATGCTTTCCAATGCTGTCAAACGTAATTTAAACGCAACGGAAAGCGTATACGTTTCTAGCTGCGAATACTACGCAATTAAGTTCAAGAATACCGTGTCAGAAAACGTATGCGCATTTCTCGCAACGTGCGTATACGTAAAGTTGCGTATAGATTCAAGAACAGTTGGTTATATTTGGGCGTTCGAGTGTGACATAAAAAGCACGCGAAATGCGTGTCGCATAAAGCACGAAGTTTCGCATGCGAGACCAGAGTTGGAGAGATTTCGCGAGGGAATCCCCGCTCGATCAATCATCCTTTCCTAAATGACACGCGCGTGATTTCGAAGGCGGGACCGATATCGCAGAGCTGATCATCCCTGATATAAGGACGCTCGTGCGGAGGCGAGATAACAAGCGAATGAAAGTAATGATCGATGTGCGAGAGAGAGAGAGAGAGAGAGAGAGAGACGCGCGTGCCACCTCGTCGCTATCAGCTGTCGTCGCACTGAACCGCTTATCCGCGCGCGCGCGCGCGCGCGCGCGACGGCACAGCCCCGCTCTGATATATCTCGTCTTCTTTTTCATATACCCGCCAGTACTCGGTGAGCCTCGGCGACGAGGCGCGCGACAACCACGCGCAGCAGATCGAGCGAGCGGAGATCGCGAATCTGGTGCGGTCACGGATGGAGTCGCTGAACCTGCCGATCGCCGACTACGACGACGTGTCGGAGAAGCGCAACAGCCTCTCCTACGTGATCATCAATCCGAGCTGCGACCTGAAGCTCGAGGAGGGTGACATCGTCTACCTGGTGCGGCCCAGCCCGTTCTCCGCGCAGAAGACCTTCGAGCGGCACAATTCCCGGCGCAAGAGCAACATCAGCTTCTGCTCGGCGCAGCTGGTATCGCAGATGAGCGCGGCGGTCGCGGCTGCCAGTCTGCAAGCCGGTGCTCCGGGTAGCCGTCGTGGCTCCGGCATAGGACTAGCGAGAGCGCCACCGTTGAGCACAACCAAATCGAACTCCTTGTCGTTGCCGGACAGCCCGACTGTGGCCGGCACTCTCCGCGGGCGCTCCAACTCGCTGAGGGTCGTCGACGACATCCTGCTGCGACGCAGCAACTCCCTCAGGCAAGGTCTCACGACCAGACGAAAGAGCAGCCTGGAGGACATCGGGCTGGGCGCGCTCTCGCATCACACCAACCACAACCCGATCAAGATCGCGTTGAACGGCTCGATCGGCCTGGAGGTGACGCCGCCGGAGGAAGGCTCCCAAGCTGGCGGTGCCACCAACACGGGCATCCTCGACGTCGGCTTACCCTCCATGCCGGAACTGAACGCGGCTTTGGGACCCAGCCTCGGCGCAGGCCTCGGTGGTTCCTTGGGTGGGCTGTACGACCCACCGTCTCTGCAGTGCCCAATGGGCTCGCCCTGCCAGTCGCTGCAGATGCAAGGCGCCGCGCAGGATCCACAGCACATACAGGGGACGATAGTATGATATAACCTAATGTGGGGACGCAGGCTCTCCGGCGTGGCGCGTAACAAGTGGCTGTAGCGTTCCCACATGGCGTTTAGGGCCGAGCGGCGAGAACGGCGAGATCGTAGCGAGTCATAGAGAGAGAGAGAGAGAGAGAGAGCGTAGAGAGAGAGAGAGAGAGAGAGAGAGAGAGAGAGCACAGGACCAAAATGGTACAATGTCTCGTGTGGGACTGACCATCCAGGCTGGCTGACACAGTGAGGCGGCCGGGGGAGCAAGGTTGCCCCGCTGTGTAAGCACGTACAAAAATACGACGTCGCGACGGCTTCGGCGACTGTACGAAGTGTCGGGGATTCACCCTGCGTCTCGGCTTCCTCGGCTATGTCGGGCCGAGACCGCCACTCCTCTCAGCGGAGATTATTTCGATCCGCTCGAGCGAGACTAGCGGCGCACAGCCGGGGGAACCGCGACACCTCACGCCATTAAACCAAAAATGCAATCGCGTCGCGAACAGTAGCGTTCGGCAGAAACGACGGGAAGGAGAAAAGCCAGCGAGGCTTTCCGTAGGGCGTCCAACCGCGACCCATCGCGACTCACACCGGTGGCGCCGGCCGTTTCTTTCGCTTTGTTCGCGGCGGCGCGACGTGCAACAATTCGTGGACCTAAGCCCAGGGTAAGTATATCGAATCGTAACTGTGATACGTCGCACCCGCTGACCTTCTCCGCGCGCGCGGAACGCGCGCGAGGCAGTTGCCCAGCGTGGCGGCCGCGGTGGATCCTCGGATCGTCGGAGTTTCCCCAAACGCTACCCCATGAATCGCGCCGTCGTGTCGCGAAGAGTCGTCAGCCGGAGGGCTAACGCGCGGTCCTCGGTTGCCGGAGGGGGCGAGTTGTAAAGTATCGTCGCGAGCTTCGGTTCGGTGTACCTTACTTTTGTAACTCGTACCTGTAGCGGGCTGCGTTCTTGAGGGAAGAAGAGAAAACAAAAGAAACACACTTGGCTCTCGCTAGGTCGCCTCTAGCGCGTCTCGACGTCTCTCCTTCTGCGCGCGCGCGCGCGCGCGCGTACGATTTCATCGACGACGCGACGTCACGCGCTGTCATGCCGGTCACGAAGCACTCGACCGGCAGGGAAACGAAAGCGGCGACCGACGAGCGACCAGATACCGCGACTCGCTCCGACATTCGACCGATTTTCTACGCACTGAAATTTCCTCCGAGCGTACCACGTGCTCGTCACACGCTACGAGACCGCGACGTCTGTCTGTTGTTTGACTTTGGTCGATACACGCCGAAGACGAGAGAAATATTTCAATGACGTGACGCGAAACGGCACTCGCTGCGTTTGAATAAAGTCACGAGACGTCGAAGCGTCCGCCGGGAACGGAAGCTCTGGGGGATCTTCTCTCCTCTTCCCGCTCTCCTCGAGAGCGTGGCACGTTTCAAAATTGCAGAATCGCGGAGCATTCGTCGAAGCACCGTCTCTCTCTCATCCTGCTCTCATCGTCTCAACGGTCTGATCGATGCCAAAGAAGCTCGAGCTTTCCTCTGAGTCGCTGAGCGATCCATGACTAACGTCTCAAGCCTGGTCTACAATGCGCTCTCTGCTCGCCGTTTCCTTACTTTTTATCTTTTGCTAGCTCGCGATGTGAGATTCGAGTGAAAAAGAGATAAGGAGGAAGAAAGAGAGAGCGAAGAGCATATCGTAGATAAGGCTTTGTACCTAATCGAGCGAGTCGCCGACGAATCGCTTCTGTTCTCCCGTCGCGTCACTGGCGCTTGTCAACTTTCAGACCGAGACCGACTCGTTGTATACTCGTTGTATGAGCGCTCGTCCGTCGCCCACCTCACCCTCGAAAACACCTTCGAAACACGCAAAAACGAAAACGAGGGCACAACCGGAGACGTCCTATCAGGCACACCTCGATTCCTACTCAGCGTCGCGCTCCAGCGATGTCGAGCGCGAATAATTTTATAATATTAGGGAGACTTGTGTGAAGTGCAACGACAAAGATAGAGAGAAAGTGGGAGGAAGGGAGAAGGTCTATTATACATATTACTGGTACGAAATGTATGACCATTTTAATCATATCACGCGAGAGTGCCGCTCGCGGAGAAGTCACCCCGTTATATGCCCTAGTAAATAAAAATAGTCGGAAGAGAGTATTTTAGAGACGAGACTTAAGTGCTTAGGACTATGCGCGCGCGTATCGTGACTTTTAAGCGCGTGACTGATAAGATTGTCCACGGTGAATCAGTCGGTCGCGTCGCAGGACGATCGCCGACCACACGCGTGATTCCTCGTGACGGAGCCGAGATTGGCGCGGCGGCACGCCGCATCGGCGCATCACGAGCGCGAAAACGAAGCCGCGAGAAGAATTAGAAACGAGCTCCGATCGCGAATGAACCATATGAAAACTACTACTACTACTATTACTACTACTACTACTATTAGCACTATTACTACCATTACTACTACTACGACTAATCTACCACTTCTTCTTCTTCTTCTTCTTCTTCTTCTTCTTCTTCTTCTTCTTCTTCTTCTTCTTCTTCTTCTCGTTCTACCACTTCTTCTTCTGCTCCGTTCCCTCTTGTTTATCAGTTTCAGTCTCGATCTCTCCGGGTCTCTCCTGGGGCGCGAAACGTCCCAAGAATCAGTTGTTAGCGCGTGAGCACGATTGTTCCCCCTTGATTCCGACAATCTGTTCAATCGGTCAGTCGAGAACACGAAGGTCCCCCCCCTCCCCCCCCCCGCGACTCGGGATGAACTGTACGTCGCGGCCGGGCCGACGAAACAAAATAATACATTGTAGCAGCCGGATTAGCGCGACATCGGCGGCATGGTAGAAATCTAATTTTCCACGCGACGCGCCGCGCACTCGAGCGGCGCTCGCGCATTGCCAAATGCAATCGTTCGTTGACCAATTTACACGTTTCTTCGACCAAACGAGTCGTGTTATCCAGTACCTGCTTCGATATTGCTTTCACTATACGTAGAGACCTAACCAGCTCGGCCCCCCGTTGGACGCGCGACCAGACGCAAATCTCCCGCGAAGCAGCTTTGCCTCGTTTTAAGTAGCTTTAGCCGCGCGCGGCGTCCGCCGATGATCAGGGATTAAACTATATAAAGCCGGACAACAAGCAGTCGCGAGAGCGAGTCCAAATGCGCGTTTGCGCGAGCGACCACGAGCGTGAGAAACGCGGCGAGCTGGGAAAGTTGCTTCGCGGAGATCAGCCGGATCCTCGCCGACGGCGGCAGATCGAACGAATAGGACAATTCGTCGGGCGCCATGCCCGAGGGAGATGAGACGCGAGAGGAAAGGCGGGTCTTGGATTCGTTGGCCACAAAATCAAAATGTAAGATAAGCAGACGCGTGTCGTCTCCCTCGCGCGAGGCCTTCACGCTCGCGCGATTCTTCTCTCGCTTCGCGCTCCTTCCGCGCGGAAAACGGATGTCAATTCGTGTGCACTGAACAACAACCGGGCGAAAAGTCGGTAACGAGGAAGGATCTCTTGGCGATGTCTCGAAGTTGTCTAAATTAGGGTTGCCAGATTTTGTTCGGGCAGGTTGCCAGACTTTGCCGATGCCCGCAGGCTGTTCAGTTAAGGGGGGAATTGCATGCGCAACAGGCCGTTTCCAAGGCTATTTTTAGGAATCTTTTCAACGGAAACGGTAAGATCAACGGACTTGAAATTTTCACTGTGTATTCATTAATGTTCAAAGTATAAAATAAATTTTATTGAATCACAAGAACCCCGATCCAATTTGTAATTATAGATAAAAATGCAGTCATCCGTTTGCGAGCTCTGTGTTTGCTGTCGACACAATTCCGGGCCTCTTGTTACTCTGAAACCAAAATAAGTAAGAAAGATTTTTAAAATATACAGTCGCCATTATATAGCCCGTACCAAAATGAAGGCGGTGGAGCCGAGTTTGGAAAAATAATGACTGTACGAGAAGAAAGTATCGAAAATGAAACTTTTTTCGACTTGTAATCATGTTTAAAAAAATGAGTAAAATAAAATATAACTATGTTCGAGGTAGGAGCGAAAACTACACGTCTACCGTATATTGTGTAAAAATTTCAAGTTATTCAGTAGTTTCTGCGTAATCATGTCGACCGTTTAAGAAAATGGTGTTTCTTAAGATAAACGCGTTTAAAGCTTTACGTATACTTTCCATATAGATAGCAAGAAATTTATTTTATACTTTGAATGAACATATTGATGAATACACTGTGAAAATTTCAAGTCCATTGATCCTACCGTTTCTGTTAAAAAAATTTGTAAGAATAGCTCTGAAAAAACGGCATGCTGCACATATAACTCTCCACTTGATATTAAAAACGAGTGGATTGTTGAACACTTCCATCTAACGATATATTCTTCGAAAAATGTATTTTTACAAACTGCACCTCTCTCTCCAATTTTGGCAACCCTAATCTGAATCGTGTGTAATGTATACTCGGCTGCTTGAAAATTATAATATCGGGATAACCTAAAAGAATCGACTGAATAAGAAACATCCGCGGGATTTCTGCTTCTAACGACGAAAGCGTGCTTTTTGATCCTCGATCGAACTGTGCTTTCTCCACTCTTGTCTCTCTCTTTCTCTCTCTCTCACTCTGTTAGCCCCGTCTTTCTTCCTTCTCTCTGATTAGCAGTCGAGGAGGAGACCGACCGTGTGTCATCCTCGCTGGCGACGAGAATCGTAGGACTTTTATACGTAGATTAGCATACACGTGAGCGCGAGTCGGGACTTTTACGGTGTAAGACGACGACGAAGGATTTTCTATGTCGTAATTGGAACGCGACAAATGTAGCTCCTCGCATTCCGAGGGCCAACACGATCTTCGCGGGCTCGTCCCAAACAGTAATCGCCTTAGAAAGGGAAAGAGAGAGAGAGAGAGAGAGAGAGGGAGAGAGGAGCTCGGCAGTTTTATATAGTTTCACCGCGACCGGCTCTTTTACATCCGACGCAGTCGGATTATTATCGAGTCGCGTCACCTCCAGCCGAGGTGAAATCCGCGCGAGAGCGGAAACGGGGAAGATCGCACGAGCGAGGAAGCGCGTCTTTCCCTTCAAACGGCTTCTCGCGCGAAAAATCCAGAGTCCCATCGCGCGTATACAGGGTGGCCCCGCGTAAAGTGTTACAAATCCATGACTTTAAAAATATTTATCGAATAAAAAAATTGTTCATCAGGAAGTCTCATGTATTCGAAAGGCCTTTCTAACCACATAAACGTAAAGTCGCCCCGCTTCCCCTTTAAGGGGGGGGCGGGGGTAATTTTATAATTTTAAACGGAATCTTCTATAGAATGTTGCATATTTGGATTCTACGGGAAGAAACAAGTAAATTTTATCTGAGACATTTGTTTGGAAGATGCTTCTGTCAAAAGTTATAAGCATTTAAACCTTTAGCGATTTCATTCATGTTTGAACTCCATTGGCACGAAGTTGCGTTCGCGATACGACAAAAACAAAACAGACTTTACAGTACGTACTTGATGTTAGCCAAGAGAAACATAAATAATTTGAAGTATGTACTGTAAAGTCTGTTTTGTTTTTGTTGTATCGCGAGCGCAACTTTGTGTCAGTGGAGCTGAATCATGAGTGAAATCGCTAAGGGTTTGAACGCTTATAACTATCGAATACACGAAACTTCCTTATGAACCAATTTTTTGATTTGACAAATATTTTTAAAGTTATGGACCACCCTGTGTAACAAAAGGCGGTGCACGTGGCTCGTCTTCCTGCCTCCCGTTCTCTTCTCCTTCCTCCCCTGTTTGATTTCCTCTCGAGGCAAGAATTCCCGTTAGATCCGGAAGCTCACCGGTCGTAGGGCAACGCGCCGTGGAGTTCGGAATCTCGGCCGATATCGGGAAGAGGTCACGGGGGTGCGTGCGGTGCTGAGGTCGCACCGGGGGCGTCCGCGTGTCCCCGCGAGGTCGCGAGAGCGAGCGGAAGCGGTTTGCTCGGGGCGTGTATATAACTTACGATTAATCATAGGATCAGAGCCCAATATGATGTGACCTGACTCTTCATAGCTGAATTCAAATGAATAATCTGTTCTAGAGTATATACCACGTAAAACAAGTGAAACGCGGCGAAGTCACGGCGATCTCTCGCGAAGATGTTCTCGGGGAAGATCGCACGAATTATTCGTCTCGAACGAGGGCGCGCTCGATTCTGCGGAGCCCTTTGCGTGGGAGCCCTTCGCGCGACGTGCAGGCAACCGCGGTTCTCGCACGACGCGCGGAGGAGCGCGACGAGTCATCGTGTGTGCGACGTGCGTTCGACTCTTCGAAAAGCAGAAAGCCGAATTTCGAAAAGCAGAAAGCCGACTTTCGTTCCTTGAGGCGGTCGTCATATCGCGCGCTCTTTCTTTCGCGCGCGCGACGCGGCCTGCGCGGTTAAATTCCAGTGCGAGATTCCAGAGCGCGGATCAACGACGGAAGTAGGATTGCCAGATGCGAAATGACTAATTTCCTCCGGGACATTTTTCAGGCGACGGTTGAGAAACAGGTTGTCAGAGAATTTTAGTTAAATTTGAGAGACAGAGGGGTAAGACGGCTAAGAGATGCCGCTGTGCACTCGCAACAAACAAATGCGTGAATTAGATACCAGCAGAGAGAAGTTTGGGCATGAACAGTGCGATTGTATTTTTTAGCACGTGAGTGGCTTAGTTGACATCAATTTTCTTAGGTGGCACGTCGAAAAATTCGATCCTATAAGTCGCGGTGACCGCTCTCTCTCTCTCTCTCTCTCTCTCTCTCTCTCTCTCTTTCTCTCTCTCTTTCTCTCTGGTACCAGTTAGAAACGTGAGTGTTATTATGATTTTGTTGAAATTCTGATTTTCCGGGACATTCCCGGGAATCTCGGGCATCTGGCAAGCCTAGAAGAGACGGAAGAGACGAAGTCGACGCTTACTTCCCAGACAGCGCGAATTTCTCAAAGACGTCTCAGCGAGATACGTAGGACGTCTTCTCCAAGTCTGTACTGTCCGGCGTGGTCAGCCGACGACGTCTCGCTACGTCGATCTTGCTCGCGCTTTGGAACTCGACTCGTCGTTTCGACGGCGTACAAGTCACTCTCCGCGTTCGTGATTCGTAAAACTCGGGGAGCGCAAGTTCGTCACGACGCCAACACGTCCACAGGATCGCTCGTCTCAAAGTTCTCGTGCCTTTGTCACGCGAGAGTACGCCAGCCGAGTGTCCGCGAATTTTCCGAAGGTCTCCGTGTAAGGTTAATTTCATCCCCCGCGAAACAGCGTCTTCGTCCTCGGAAGCCGAGCTTCCTTTTCCGAGACGATTCGCGTGTAATGTATCCCTCACGACTACGCGCTCATTCTCCCCCTCGTGTCTTTAGTGTCTCGCGTTTGTCTGATTTGGAGAATTTATGCTCGTTTAATATATTACGATTATCTTTAACGTAAACGTAAGACCAGAACCCCACATAAAGGCACACATACGTACTCCCACGCGCAGGTAGCTGCATTTAGCATTAGATATAGATAATTCTTCTTCTTTTCTCACGCACAAAATACTCGCAGGCTCATAAGGACGTGCGTTTGATTTTCATAGACATTTCTCTATTAATATTTTCCCTCTATTAATATTTTAGTCGATTTTTTAATAACATTCGCACGCATATACACGCTACGCGCGTTATCCTTCTCCAGTTGCAATAATTTTTCCATAATTACACCGATTTGCCAATTAATGGTGAACGTGTTTGGGAGGGCAAATTCGTTTTCCACTTCGAAGAGAGGCGCACACGTGTATTTCCTCGCGTACGCACTGAACATCACACAAGTTCCTTCGAAAGTTTAAGCAAGAGCTTGGCGCACCTCGAACGAGCTCTCTTCGAACGACGCGAGTCTTATTGAAGCGTCCAGCAGGTTCTTACGATAGGATTTATGTAATTAAGCATTCCTCGACCACAAATACAACTGTAAACGGCTGTACGTAATGTAAAATAATAAAAGCAGAAAAACAGAAAGAGAGAGAGAGAGAGAGAGAGAGAGAGAGAGAGAAAAAGAGAATGTATCTATATAAAGAAATATATATATATATATATATATATGTGCGACGTTGTAACGCGATGCGTGCGATGTGCATGTAAATTTATTATAAATAAATTATTATAAAGCAATGAAGAAAAGCAGAGAAAGAGACCGCTCAATATTTCAATGTCGTAAAACGACCACCTCTTTAGCAAGTACGACGGAGAGAATGACCGGGAAAAAAAAAAAAAAGGTTGATATTCGTAAATATGTGTACGTGGAATGTTTATTCTACGTGTATGCACAAGTGTCGTATGTACATATATTACGCGTGTGACATCGCCTATATCTGCCCGACATATAAATACAGAGTTTAGATACATTATCGACAGGAACGAACGTGAGCTAACAAGCGCTCTTCACGGGCTTCAGCACGTTCTCGGTGAACTGTCCGACTATGTTACCCCTCGGATGGTAACAGGCTACTATGACGCAGGTACCGTCCCGCTTGGCCATCGCGATTCCCATTTCGGTCGTCTTCTTCCAGACAATCTGCGTAAAGTGACCTGCAAGTGGAAAGGACGAGAGGTCTGCTTATCTTGTTCGAATGAGATATCGCGTTCAGATGATTTCTTAATGTCACACGAAAGTCGTAATTTATCACTCATGCTTACACGTGTTGAGAACTTTCGGCTCGACGCCGTACTTGTGCTCCTTCTTCTCGGAATACCATTTGGAGACGACCTCCCGCGCGGGGACGATCAATTTGGGATCGGAGCACTGCATCGAATAGATATTTTCGCCGTACGGAGACGACGACTGAGGTATCAGTTTGTTTGTGTTCAGTAAGGTGTTCGCCCAGGCCTGCGGACAGTTCAACGTATAGTCAATAAACAACGACCAGTTTACACGACGGGTGACGCGTGATTTTTATGTTATTTTTTACGGCCCGCAGCCGATCGTACATTTAGAGGTCTAAAATTGCCCGCGAACACGAAGAAGCTGCGAGCGATGAAGCTGCATATTAATCGCACGTACGACACAACGACGGACTCACGATAGTCTCACGCGCGACGAGGTTACCTTCGCAGCGGCCGTCAATTCCGGACTCAGCCTCAAGTCTGGCACGCGATGCTTCCTGCGGTACTCGTTGTGAACCAGCAATGCCTCCTGCTGCCAGGTCTGCTCGTCTATCATGCCTTGCTGCTTCATGTCACTGAAGTTGATTCGCTTTGTAGGGCTAGCTTCCGCGGGCGGCAAAACGTTCTCCGTGAAACTGCCCAAGAAATTCCCGGCGGGGTTGTAATTGCATACGACGTACACCTCCCCGTTCCGGTTCCTGGCCATTCCCACCCCCAATTCGGTGCTGTCCCTCCAGATCACCTGCGTGAAGTGACCAGTCTTCAGCGTCGTGGGTTCCTTTCCGTACTGATGCTGAGCCTCTTCGGCGTACCTGTCATCAGCAAGAATTTCGACAAGTCAGCAAGAAGTTGCGTTTAACAGATCAGCAGATTCGTACAATGATAAATATTTCGGTTAGTGCAGAGAAAGCCAACATATTAGGGGTACCGGGAAGTCTTTTCGTATGTTAAAGCTTTCAATTTCCTTGTAGAACGTTATATAATACGGCTATAGTGCGGGTTCTTAATTTTAATCCAGAATTTATTTCATATTTCAGGTTAGTCAACAACATTCTTCTATTGCGTGTTACCAACTTTCATTAAGATCGAACTTATTCCTGGAAAATGGCAGCATTTGAACCAAGTAAAGAACACGGAAAAACGAAAAGACTTTCCCCCGGTACCTTTCTCTAATATCTTTCTTCTTTCTCGACACTTCTTTTTTTTATCCTTTTTAAAAACCCCCATTTCATCCGCATGCTATTCGATGTATCGCGTGGATCTTGGTGGCTTGACGTGATTCTGATAATACGCAAGTCGATTATCCTACCATTCGTTCACTGGCTCTTCGCCACCGACGACGGTCTTCGGATTGGAGCTCCACATACAGTAGAGATTCTCTCCGTAGTCAATGTTCGCCCTGTGTTCTAGTCTACCTCTAGCCGCCAGTATATTGGCCCAGTCTTGACTCGTCTTGCATAGCTGAAAGATGAGCAGACACACACGTCGTTATTTATCGTTTCCGATAAAAACGTCAGCAACAGACACGCTTCCGAGAACGAGGGGGGGGGGTGGCGGAGGCAAGGCGAGCTTAAAAAATCAAGCTTCCTCTCTTCTCGGAAGTTACAGGAGGCGATAGATCCGTAAGCAAGATCGAGAGTCACCTGCTTGCTGAGTCGCAACGGCGGTGCACCATGTCGCGATCGGTAGAAATTGTGCGTGTCGAGGCAGACGTTGATGAATTCCTTCGGGGGCCCCAATCTGCGCACAGACGGTTTACGCGTGTCAGTCTTTGTTGTCTACAACACATAAAGAGAAAATGCCATATGGCGTATCAAGATTGCACATGATATGACAAATTCGCGGATTCTCATTAGAGATGCGCCACGTCTCATGGACTTTATTTCACCGTATCGGAAAATATAACGCCGATGCGTTCGCGTGCGTCGAAAGCATCGAATGGTCTTGAGAGCACATCATATATTCTAGAACGCTAAAAAATATGTCTTTCCGATTATTAAATGGAAACAACATTCTACGTAGCGTACATATATAAGAAGAAAACGAAACTTCGAATCAGAAAGATACATTTAATGCTAATTTACAAACACTATATAATGAAAACAGATAATAAAGCGGACAATGCATAGAAAATATCGTAAAGCTATATATAAGAATTGTACTGACTGGCAGCAACGATTACCCATCGCTCTATCCAAACACGATTATCTGTCGCATGATTTACAGGTCAGTCCATAAAATTTGCTCGCGACGCTTTTATTCTCGCGACCGTTCGTTAAATTTCTCCCACTCGTAGAGAAAATTTACCGAGCGTGATGGCAAATCAGCGAGGTATGAATAACAATCACGACACAAGGAACTTGTCAGGACAAGGCTTCTCCAATAATTAAACGCAAAGCCGCGATCTAACGCGCGATTGCAGCCGGGACGATGGACAGCCGATGATTTTCGAGAAACTCGAAACGACGATAACTTCAAGACTTTTCGACGACGATTGTCAATTTCATCGCCTGCCATTTACACGACGTAACTATTTCTATCCAAGAGTTATATGTAAATCTTTTTAATTTTCTAATTTTTACATTTGAGTAACAGAAAAATAAATATAATGAGCGAAGAGGTAGCACAAAATTCGAGCGACAAATTACAAAAATCTGCAAATTTCCTGAGTTTCCTGAATTTTTGTATTTTGGTAAGAATAAGAAGAATATAAAAAGTGAAGAGGTAGTACGAAATGGGTCCGATGGGAAATGAGTATTTTTGGATATTCTGGTATTTCAAGTAGTAGGGGGGGGATACATAATCTGAAAAGAGGTGCGAGAAACAAAAAGACTTGTTTAAAAAATATTCATACTCATTTGTATTCTTTTTTATATTTTAATACAATACAATGTAATATATAATGCAATATGTGTAATATATAATGTAATAAAATATATTATACAGTACAATACGCAATGATTTAATCATGTTTTAAAATGTCGAAGCGTGACATTGACATAAGGTAGACGAATGGGAAACTAAAAGAATTTATATATAAATCTTTAATAGAAATATCTCTTCGTTCACTATATTCTCCCGATATCGAAATGCAAAAATAGGAAATTGAGAAAATTTGGGAATTTTTAAAATTCCCGCCGGAGATTCCTGACACCTCTTTGCTCATTGTATTCTCCCGATATCAAAGCGTGAAAACAAGGAAACTGAGAAAATACAGAGATCTTTAAATTTTCCGCCGGAGACTCTTGCTCAAAGAACTGCTCGAACACTAAAATGCATTGATGATGCAGCACTTAATGAGCGCCTGATTAACATTTAATCCATTGTATTTAATCCATCTCGAGGTTCTCGAGACATTAGCGGTGCAACTTGACAGAGATGACGTAAGTTGCGGCTCGCTGAAAATCCGACGCCGAGGATATCGAGACGCCGCGCCGCGGCCGTGCTGGCAGATTAATAAACACGCGATCCGTCCGCGTGTCCCCGCTACAAATCACGTACAAATCGGCCGTTTTACGGACAAGGCCGTTAACCTGCGCGCGCGCGCGAAAAACCTCGCGCTCGCGCTCACGAAGAGCGGCTTGAGCGAATGAGAACGAGACAACACGCGCACCGCGGAAAATGGAGCGGAAAAATCGATTCCACGAGCACGCGAGAGCGCACGGCCCGGGCTTCTTCTAGCTTGAGATTAGTCATCGCGCCAGCCGGCCCAAGATTATGGCGCAATGAGAGATCCACCGGTCATCCGCGGTCAGACTCGCGCGACTCCCGGAGAAAAGGAGCGCTGATCCTGAGTCATCGCGCGCGGTCGCAACTCGCGCGCGACGCATCCTCTCCGGCAAGGAGAGGAGCCCTCCCACTGGCCCTCCCCTCCCTCCACTCTCAAGGAGGATCCTCTCGCAGCGTGCACGCTCGTGTGCACGCTGCGCACCGAGACTGCCCGTGAAAAAACTGCGCTTTCCCACCGAGCTCGGCTAATTTGCCAAGTAGGTTGAAACCGGAAGGCTACCTCGGGGTAACGAGGAGATCGGCCGGCCGATAGGAGAGACGACCGGCTCGGGGAAGAAGAGAGGCTCGTGGATATTCTTACCTGTGACGATGAATACCTCGCGGAGTCGGGAGACGCTGAAGAGGACCTGGCGCTGCTGCAGGACATGCCATCGCTGCCTAAGCTGCCGTGAAAACTGCCGTGCAGAGAATTCGACAGCGGGCCTGGCGAGGCCGGTGACGCTGTCAACGGGGACTTCGATCTTACCGATTCTGTCCTCGACCTGAAAGTAGATCAATTATCACGGTATACGGAGAAATACAGCGCTCCTTTCAGTCGCGGACTCAGCACAGCGACCACCAGGCGCGGTGAACACAAGCGGCTCGTGCTTGCTGAAACTTTTCTGCACACAGAAGCGATCACGTAACAACGTAATCGGCGGTGAAGTGAACTTTTTGTCTTGACGAGAGTTCCTCGCGAGATTCGGCCGGCTCTGCGCGAAAGTCGCGAGGAAAACTGTTGTAAAATTGACCCGCGGTAAAGCTGGCCCGGCATTAGTCAAGGAGGAATTCTCGTTAAGGCGGTATCGCACGCGGATGGTGAAATGACACATGTGGATGTATGTACGCATTGGGAAAAATGACCGGTCGAAACAACTCGAATCGAGTCAAATGAACTGAGTCTCAGCGAACCAACATCGCTGGATTTCTCCAGCAAAATCTCGACGTATTATCGCAATCTCTCTCTCTCTCTCTTTCTCGTTTGTACTGGTAAAACCCGAAAAGAGGTATTCTATTTGTAAAATGATTTTTCCCATAGTCTCATATTCCAAGCGAAGCCTTTTACAGAAAAAGGATTCTTCTTTCGATAAAACGATTAAAGTGGGCCATTCATCTAAAATTTATTAGATATTATTCCAACGGTTCTCCTCTTCAAACTTCAAGAGGGCTTCTTTTTATATGAATTAATTTTTCTTTTGTATAAACAGGAAAATGTTGATTTGAATATCCGCTTCTTTTGTTCAGTCATGCTCTACCTCCAGACATAAACGGAAAAATAACCGTGTGTTCATGGGTCAGAATATTTGGAACTTTTTCTAAAAAAGATATATGTATTGCTGCAACATACAACGAAGATAATTTACCCATATTTGATCAAATACAGTTTATAATCTGTTGCAAGAAATTGAATATTCTTTCTTTTAACTATGTTTCGCACAATTGGTTATGATGGACATCTTTGTAGCTATAAAGTAGCTATAAAGTCCTAGCTAGTAGCTATAAATATTGTAACCATAAAGTCCATAACAAAATTGATTGGAAATTTGATCTTATTTTATTCGTGCCTACTTATTGCAGAACTGTTGAGCAAGCCAGAAGTACATCTATATATATATATATATATGTTACTTTTCGCTATACATTATAATTTTTTCAAATTGACTAATATAACCGATAAGAATAAAGTACAGTGAGAATAAATAATAATCCTCTTAAAAAAAGATTCAATAATCCGTGTACAAGAGGAAATTTATATTAAAATCAATAAGATTTGCATTATACATGTAACATATAATCCCTCTAACTTTCAGATTAATGTGTTTATAATATTTTCCTCTTAATCCCAGAGGAATCCTCTCGAGGCCATATATAAGAATAAAATCCTCTAAAATTTAAATGATTCCGCTTGTTCTGAAATTAGAACTTTTTCGGAGTGAAAGATCGAAATAATATAAAACCGACCGAATTAAGCACAATTAAGCGATCGAAAATCAAATCGCATCACCAGTCGCATTGATCCCACTTAGCCCCGAGTCGTTTAGTTCCCTGAGACCAAGCTCTACTTAACCGATTCTTTCCGTCTCAGCGTCAACATGACGTTCTCTAAATGGTGCCCTGATATTCCGTGCATCTCGATGAGACGTGAGTAAGCTGGAAAGCCAATACGAAATTGCAACGTGCGCGACGATCGCGATCGTCGAGGACCGTCCGGGCGATCATTATGGCATGCGCAATAGATCGAAGCGATCGAACGTGAGAGCATCTAATAGCACTGTAATGTAATCGCAACGGTGTGTCCCCAATCTATTCCTAGGGTGTGTTTCACGACGGGCTGAATACCGGCTTGTTCGTGTAAACAATTCATGCCGCAGATATCCGATCATTATACGCTCATAATGCAAATCCGCGCGCAAAGTTCCGAGCGCATAAGATTGCACGTGTTGACTAATGAATAGCAATCTCTCGCCGGGCCGCGCTGTTAACTTGGCATCAAGATGCAAATACCGCTGTCCGGCGGCAAACGACTCGCGCGCCGCGATAATTTCCCCACGCGAATATGAATGTTGACCCAAAGACGGATACGTTTTCAGAAGCTCGTGTACCATCGGATCGCCCGCCAACACGTTTATTCATCACCGCGCGTTTTTAAAGCAGACGCGCTCGGGGCGGAGCGGGGGCAGGGGGTTCCGCGAATATTCCGCAGGCCGTTTTGGCGAGTCGCGAGTGCCCGTTTATTAACGTGTTTCGGACGAGACACGTTCCTTTAAGCCCTAAACACAATGCCAGGCAACAGGCAATAAGAATAAAAATAGACCAATCACAATAGATTATTTTTGTAATAGTCGACCTGGCATTGTGCTTAGGGCTTGAGAGAACCCGCGGAATTTTTGCAGCCCCCTGCGCTCGTACGAATCGGAATATCTGCGCGCACGGGATGAGAAGAAAGCCAGTCTGTTCGGAGACGAAACAACGAGCGGACCCGCGCGAGCTTAGTATTCAGCCCAAAGACGTGATGACATCAGAGTGAGTCGAGGGACGGCTGAGGACGGCTTTTCAAGGGTCTCAGCGGGCCCCGTTAAAGGTCACGCGACTTCGTCCTGCGCGCGTCCACGTACGCGCCGTCGCATCTACCTTCACGAGCACGACGCGCCGCGTACTTCCTCCTTCCTACGAGCCTTCGTGACGTGTCCACGGCCACGGTCGTGCCGTGCCGTGTTGTGGGAGAAAGGCTGTCGTTTTCTTTGTTATGTCGCGCCGAGCCGAGCGGAGTCTCCGATATGCCTGCCGTAAGGGCGACTGCGACGATAACGATACAAGGCGTCCCAAATCTCGACGAAACGGGAACTCAACGAGGCGTTCTCGCCTGATTGAGCGACGTGCTCGAATTTCGCGGACTTTATATGATTCTTCGCGATCAACGTCGAGCAAAGTCGTAACCGAAGTCAAGCAAACCGACGAGAGGAAGGAGAAAAATTAAATGAATATAAAAATAAGATACAAAGTTGCACGCTACCTGTGACATATCAATTCATAATGAATAGATTTTGATGTCTGAAATTAAGAACAGATAGAAGACTGTATCTTCAGATGGCCTGTAGCCAATAAAATAATCCGTGCAGCGTCTAAAGATAGATCTAAAGGAGGCCTGAAATATAAGGCCTGACTACGATGAAGGAGGGTATGTGTGCTGAGATGCGTTACACGTCGAGGACATCTTCGACCACATCCTCGAGCAGCTCCAAAGCGAAACGATACGCGGCCGAACTTTCTTGGGACACGCTGTACCTTATTTCATATTGCCTCCTTGCATCTTGCTTTATTTTTTCGTTTTTTTTTTCTGCCTTGGCCCTTGCGCGCATTCAGACGAGTCGTACCGGGAGAGTTTTTCTCGGCGGCGGCGGCGCCCGCGTGGGCGGAATCGCATACATCGCTCGACGTCGAGCGGACGACGTGCTGCTCGCTGCCGATAAGAATTTAATCCCGACAAAACGGACCTCGCGGCGATTAATCTGCCGGTTAACCGATCCCGCCGGCGCGTAAAAGCGGCTTGCGTAAGACCAAGTGTGTTGAACGTAACGTACGCGTGAGATCGCGCAGATAAAATCGCGCGCGCCTCGGAAAATCGAGACGCGAGACGCGCGGCGCGTGCGCGGATGAGAAAGGAGCGCGGCGCGCCGCCGATCACGGTAATCGCGGAGGAAACGCGCGCGCGCGCGTATCTTTGCAGCCTCTCGGAATCCCGTAATTTCAATTCATCCCGGCGACGGCACGAACCTCATTTCCGGCGCGAGCGGACATTATCGCCCTGTTACGTGAAAGCCGGCAATTTACTTCTTATGGAATCCCCTCGGCAATTCGCCTCGACGTAAGCGCGCCAACTTTCAGCTGTCACTCGGCTTTCTACGTGCCATCACGTGCTGTTTTTGCGACTGCACGTAGGACGTTGAAAAAGTTCCGGGAGAATTTCGATAAAAAGACAGGCAGGTTGAATTGAGCGCTTGATCTCTCAGGTTTCCTGATCCCACGGATCTATGTTAAAGTCTGAGCTGTCTTTTGCATCTTGTTATTCGGTTATCACTTCTCGCTACAGTTTCCACAGCACGGATATTTTCTTCAGAAGCCGGCCTCCCACTCGCCTTTGGCGTTCTCTCGACCCTCATTAAAACGATTAATCCAGTCATAAAGAACGCTTTTCTTTGATGCACTGTCTCTGCGAACATCTGTGACAGACCTGATAATATCAGGTTTCTTCCAACCCAATTTAACCAAGAGTTTAATCAGTTAGTGCGCATTCGAGAAAATGTTTCGTCGGTCCAGCTAGAATTCTAAACGTTAGAGCTAAGATTTTTCGCTCATTTTTGTATCTGCTAGAAAATTGTCTGTGGTACACAGAATTTACAACAACACTCAGCAATTTCTGTGGGAAAATCTAGGTCCCGTAGCTAAATATGAATCACTGTGTTGAATGAAAATAATAATAATAATAATAATAATAATAATTTGACTAGGTGCCACAAGGAGATCTTCTTGCTAAATTTGACAAATAGTCAGTCATGAACAGTCTGCCTCTGTCATTTATACTGGTTAGACACAAAACATATGCAATATCGTAGTGCTTGCTAGTCGTTTAGCCATTTCAGCCAATTTCTTGTAGAATAGATAATTTTCGCTATGATTATAAAATCATTTTTCTCAGTGCGCAAATTTCAAATTTAATCGAATCCATATTCGCAGATGCAACGGTAATTTTAAACTGACACGCGTAAGTATCGCTGTCGGGAATACCCGACAAAACAAGTCTCGGCAAGTTTATTATAAATGTAGCATTCTGTTTACGAATAATAACTACTTTCCCGGAACTTTTTTAACGTCCCACGTATACACACTAAATGAAACTAGGACCACTTACCGATCCTAGTGAAGTTTCGGAAAGCATCTAAGAGACAACACCGGCTAAAGTATTGTATTATCAGTGCCGTCGGCGGCGATAAGTCTGTCGACAAGCTTGTCTTTCTCTCTCTCTCTCTCTCTCTCTTTCGTGTTTCTTTTTTTTCTTTCCGTCGTATGCTTACTTTCCTTCACTGGAATCGGAATTCGGACTAGGTTGCGAGACTAGTCAGCGTCACATAGGCGATTGTATACCTGTCCGGCGACACCTGATCGACAAAACCGACCACCTTCTTTTTCGTTCCGTGCACGTTGAGCGACGGCATACTACAAGAGCAACGATTCACACAAAAGAACAATTTTAATTGCGTTCTCCTGTCAGAAAGTCCGCTATATGTCGCGAAAGCGAGATAATACCCGGAGAGCGCGTGCTTCGAAACGGAGACTTCAGTGCGGGCAATAATGGCGATAAGACGCGACGGGACGACCGAAGAAAGAAGAAAAGGGAAATGTTTGACGTTCTATTGAAAAAGAAGCAAGCACCGCGTGTGTGCCTGCGCGTACCGGTCGAGAGAAAGGGAGTGAAACACGAGACAGCTGACTCGTACGGCGGATAAAGTTTTGTCTACTTCTCGAACTGTGTAACAAGTTTCCGGTACACGGAATCGTGCAAGGAGGAAACGCACCTCCGACCACGTGCGCCGAAGGAGCACTTCGCTGAGGTAGAGGGGCACATAACAGTACGCTACGGTTGCGATATCAATTTGTTCTAAACACCGCAACACGTGCATTCATCATCCATCTCGGTGGTTTTCCGGAGCCTCCTCTGCGCCTCTGCGCCGAGGCGGAACTACGCTCCTGGTGGAATCCGCGCGCGCGCGCGCAGTGAGACGTTTGTACGAAAAAGTTGGCCAAAATTATTTTTTGACGAATTTCCGTGGAAAACTTGCTACGAATTACAGTCTGTAAAGTAAGAGCGTGTACGGCATAAATGGCAGTTGGCTTCAAATATCGTCCTAGTTTTTTTTTAGCCGTTAGTTTTTTATATGTGAGGCATATCTCAAACACAAGCTTCGAGGAAAAAGAGTGTGCACTTTGAAGCAGCTGACACGACAAATTCGTCTCATTCGGAGGTCTTTACCGAACGAATACGCAGTCGACTTAGTGGAAAGTATGCCTGAGAGATGCCAGGCAATTATCAATGCCGGTGGTGACTGGACTCATTATTAATGGTATAGCGTTTTTCTTCTCATGGAGTACAACAAATCCGTGTACTTAAAAATCATTAAAAATAAATTTTTCTACACATTAACCACACTCTTACTTTACAGACTGTAGTGGAAAGTAGCCTCGGAGATGCCAGGCAATTATCAATGCCGGTGGTGACTGGACTCATTATTAATGGTATAGCGTTTTTCTTCTCATGGAGTACAACAAATCCATGTGCTTAAAAATCATTAAAAATAAATTTTTCTACACATTAACCTGTACACGCTCTTACTTTACGGACTGTATATATACGTATGATCATTATAAACTTCGTATAAGTTTTTCATGAAATAAAGCGCAAATATGTATGTAAGAATATTTTAATAATTAAGAAAACATAATATTGCGCATCGATAAGTACTCAACTAGACTCAACTCCAAATTTCTTCATCCAATGAGTGTATTCCATCCCCAGAATCAACATCATTTTTATCTATCGAAATATCTCCTCTTCTTGGCGTGCGATCAGTGAGAAGAAACATATCCAATGTTTCCTTTAAAAATGGTTTAGATTTCTCTCTTGGTACGGGTCTCGTATTTGTTAGTAACGGGTCAGGATTTAGTAAAAATCTGTTGATTATGTTCATATTGCAAAAGGAAACAAAAGGAAACTTCCTATCTAAATAACTTTGGACAAAACTCAATTTATGTTTGAGGAAACAAAAGTAATTGCTAAATCTATCATCCGCGGTTTACCACGGCTAATTCTTTCTGATATTTTATCCGGAGAGATTACTCTTTCATTTCATCCAAGAAACGTAACAGGGATACACCCTCAAGTATAACTAAATTCTTCGAGTTTGACATCGAGAACGCAAAAAGATACATTATTGAATGTTATCTTCAAAATCGTACATCTACGTGAATAACAATTCAATTGTAATAAATATAGTCTAACACGTTTCTTCATACCTTCCTCGAAACAATCCGTAACGAAAAATTTCGCGCTACCACTGCTAAGAACCTTAAGATTCTGATCGAAGATCGTACGTTATAAAGCGCTGAGAATTAACGCGTGCAATACGAATGACGAATAACCAAACTCCGGCTAACCAAGCCACTTCGTGTTATCGCGGATGAACAAAAGCACAGCGGCCCATTATTCCGCAGATATTCAACCGTCTAGGATAGTCACTCATGTAGAGCAGGAATAATTTTAAGAGAATTGACTTTTGGCCAGCTTTTCAAATATCCCACAGCGCGACGTGAGAATGACCGATCGCGCGCATCCAGCGCGAGACACACTGCGATTTACGATTTGCTGCTCGCAATTCGCGAAAATCATCGCGCTTCAATTCGCAGGATCTTACGTTTCGTTTCTCCACCAGCGGTATCGTACGCTATCGTAAGTCCGAGAATCGTCTTTGTCGACTGAAATATAGATCAAGGCTCGCGCTCCGACACGCTGCTTGACAGCGCGATCGCGCTAATTCACTTCGCCGCACGAATGTACTTCTTATCAGAGAGAGACGAGCGGGTATAGCAGCAGGTATAAAACAGCGATCGGGATAATTGCGGCCGAGAAGCGGCTATTCATTATCGTCGAAATCACTACTTGTCGACTACGCCGACTGCTGTAATTTCAGACTCTGATCGTCACGAAACACATCTTAATCTCACCGGTTACGCGTTCATCTCAACATTGTTCGTTGCGTCATTGAAATCCGGCGCGCTCGAGTCGGCGAGAGAATCGCGCATCGTATATTCGAGCGGCATTCTTGACACCCGCTATGAATACCGATCAGATCACGAGCTTCAGCTTACCTGTTGGATTTCGGTGTAACGATGTCCCTCGTCTCGGAGGTGTACTTCCTCTCGGCTCGGCCGCCGTTGAACAGCTCGACAGTTTCCCTGGTGACAGTCTCCAGAAGAGGCTCGCCGCCTCGCCTTCCTTTGCTGAAGGTCCTCTGGTCCGTCTTACGGACCATCACCACCCTCGACAGCGGCTGATTGAACTCGTGGCCGTGCATGGTCGGCGGGATCATAGCTAACGACTGCGAGAGAGGACCGCCGACTCGCGGAGACCTGCGGCACAAGTTAATACGGTCGATTAACGGGCGCGATTAAGTCTGCGCGAGACACGGCTGGAAAGTATTCTGCGGCTCGCTGCACTGAACGTTAATCGCGCATTAGCGCGATCGACGTCTCTTGGACTCTCTTGGGACTTCCGCAACTTCAATCTCCCCTACATGACCAAGCTGCTACACGCTGCTGCTCCTTCTTCTTCAATCGGCGAGGTTCAATCACCGTCGACCGCGTCGCGCACGCAACGTCGCCTGACGCTCTTCGGAGCACACATGGCAGCTACATCAATTCAATATCACTGCGATTAGTCCTACAATATGGAAATATCAACCAACAAAACAAAAGTATGGTGATAGCTAATAGACCTGATAAGAAACAAATTAGAATTAAGGGGGGGGGAGGACAATCATAGGACAAACGTGTCATTCAACTATCTGGGTGTGGTGAAATAAAAAAAATGCTTTTCATAGGGAAAAATCGATTCCTCGGAGAGTATTGAATGTAGAGGTCTAAAATTTTCGCCAAATATTTTTCTGATGTTGTACAAAAACATATATTTTCTTCAGTATTTGTTTGCAGATTAGATTTTTTTTTTTTTTTTATAAACAAATATTTCTACAGAAATGGGCGAAATTTGATTTTTTTGCACTTTTTAGCTCTATTTTCCCAGTTTTTTCATTCTGTATCTCCAACTTATCCATACTATCAATATTATTTTACTCAAAAGATTCGTAATCAGCGATTCGAAAAACCCATATATCATCAATAATAATCGGAACTTTTATCAATTTCTCGTACATTATGGTCGTCATATTGAATCCGTCATTTTGAATTTTGCAAATCTGACTTCAGATTCAGATAATCAGCGACCTGAAAAACCCATACACCATCAACAATAATTGGAATTTTTATTAATTTTGCACATCATGATCGCCATACTGAGTCCGCCATTTTGAATTTTGCGAATCTGACTTTAGATTCGTAATCAGCGAGCCAAAAAACGTAGGACTACTAAATAGTTTAGTAATTTTTTCAAGGGAAGTTAATTCAGTAGTGAAAAAAGGGTTAAGGTCGATAGCGGGAATATCACTAAGAGATAGACAAACCAGCCAGAATATAAGGAAGAAATGCAAAGTTAAGCAGGATGCAGTTAAATGGTCCAAGACGAGAAAGAAGCAATGGAACGAGCACGTGAGTCGAATGGAAGAAAATGAACCAGCTCTAATTTGTAAAAACGGACGACCCAGAGGACGACTGTCCAAAAGATGGGCTCAGAGCTGGTTTTCATCATCCGCAGAGAAGCCAGACAAACAGGGAGGAGAAGAAGAAGAAGAAGAAGAAGAAGAAGAAGAAGAAAAAAAAGAAGACGTGCATCATCTCGCTAAAGCAGAGGGACCGATAAATCTATCCTTCACACTGTCCCGTTTCCTCTTCGCGATCAGTCGTCATGAAGCGCGCGCGCGCGCTCTTTACGAACCGGTTCCCGATACGTGCGATTAACACCGGTCACCGGTGTTACTTTAATTATTAGCCACGGACGCTTCTGGGCTTTCTTACGCGTGTAAACGGCGCGTCTCGTCGCGCGCGCGCGCGCGACGGACACTTTGCGGAAGAGCAGAAGGCTTTTTCGCCGACCGGCGACACGCTGTCGTCACAGCGTGTATCGTTCGGCGGCCGGACGGCTTTTGCGAAAATGCCGGACGAGCAGATTTCGGAGCAGCGCGTGTAACACGGCACGTCCGAGCCTCGCCGGGCGTAACTGGCACGGCATAACTGGATCGTAATTCCCTTTCGACGTAAATCCTCGCTCGCGTGCGAAACTCGGAATTAGCCGGGCGATTAAGCGGCACAACGCGCACGCCACAGGCAGACCAGCGCGCCACGGCGCTGGCTAAAGGCAGATCTCCCTCATTTACGTCTAAAGCGTCCCCTCGTTAACCCGCTCTTAACCTTGTGCAACATCGCGAATGAGCTTGCCTCGCGGCGGGGTAATCGAACCGTTATGTTAATGACAAAGCGCAGCCCCCTCCCCTTCCGCCTGGGAACACGCGGTCTGCGAGCCGACTGACTGCGCGTAACATTGAATGCGCGAGTTGGGACGCCGAAATTTTTTTCAAACACATCGATTTAACCCTTTAACTGCTAACGGTCGAGATAACTCGAGTGTGGAAAGAAATGGCGGCCTTGCTGCGATCGAGTTCACTCGATTTGGACTTTCAATGCGTGTGGTACTTTTTTTTTTTAATTTAAAAATGTGAATTTGTGAAAATCTGGATCATCAGCAAATTGTAAAATGTTTTATAATTGTAAAAATAACTCAGCAAAGAGGGTCATACTCTGGTCATTTAATATCTCAGCAGTTAAAGGGTTAGAAATCGATTTGAATCACGAAGAAAAAAGTCGATCTTTAAAAGATCGGTTTGTGAAGAATCGATTTGAATCGGTATGCATGTAAAGTGAACCACCACTCATTAAAGTATACTATCTGTCGAATTTCTACACTCAAAGTAGACCTCGTGTAATTCGTATAAATTCATATAAAGTTTAATATGAATTAAAGTAATCCATATAAATTCATATAAAGTTTAATATGAATTGAAGTAATTCATATAAATTCATATAAAGTTTAATATGAATTAAAGAAATTAAACAGACGTTACTCTTTTGGTTGTGTTGTGTGTGGCCATAACAAGATAGAACAAGATCTTTAAATCTTTATGCTAAGAATTTAATTAGTTTGATTGAACATCAATCAAGGATTTTTAAACGTTATTAAATAAGAAATCACGTTTGCTATATGCATTACTATATGCATATTACATGCATATACATATGTACATATAATATATGCTATTACATGGAGTGGCTGTGATTGGTTCGCGCGTTCCGTTCCGCTGAAAATTTTCGCCCATGAGACATCGGCCCAAAGGCAACGTAATGTGCATCGTACAGCCATTAAGTGAGTTCAAATATTACAACTAAAAAGAATTAAAAAAAAAAAAAAACTATATCACTAGTAGAGACTGAAAAAATCGTGTCGGCGATTTTCAGAATTTACAGATCGATCCTTGAATCGATTCACTTCCAGAAGATCGATTTGAAATAGATCTTTTAGGCTCCGACTAATCGATCTTCGATTAAATCGACTTAAAACCAGCATACCTATGCGCGAGCCTCTTCAGGAAATAACCAGGAATGTGCGTTCGCGACACGCTCGGCCAACGGATGTCTACCGATTTCTTACTCTTAGGGCCGGTTGCTCCATCTTCTCGGTAAGTTAACTAATAGTTAAATCATATGTTTGTCTTTGTTCTTCCTCCCACTTACAATTAGAGACAAAGATAGATGCATGATTTAGTCGTCAGTTAACTTACCAAGAAGTTGGGACAACCGGCCCTTATTCTTTTGAAGATGTGCAGGGTGTAACATCAACATACAGCTCGATATGATGGGGCAGTTGCTTGTCCCTATTCGAACGATAATGCAGAGGTTGCCGAGAAAGTCACTCGTTGATTTTGTTAATAATGATGTTTGCAGTGCTCCCGGTTATGACGAGTGCAACTAACTTTGCACCGTGATCGTTGATGACAGTTTATCGACCATTTACGAACAGGAGTCGAGCCTCAAGATCGCTTCTGCAGAAGTATGAATCAACCGGAAACGCAGTATAAATATTGATTGCAACTTAATCGACGATAACTACCAAGAGACATATTTTCGGCACATCATAGTCTCGTATCTCAACGCCTCTTTTATCAGAAAATAGGGCTTGATAGTTGTCATCGATCGGAAGCGATCTTCTGTACAAACATGGATGGAATATAGTACATAAGATACACTTCTAAATATTTCTATACCGCTCTTTCTAATCTGCAACCCCTATCGAGCCTTTCAGCGCAAGAAAGAAATTAAGAAATTAGAAGTGAAACAAGAAAAAATATATTGTGTGTATTTATCTCCTTAACTGTTATTCTTACTTCGCTCTGCTCAAATCCGTAATATTCATTTCTCAGTTTCACTTTTTTAAACATCTCTTTTAATCCAATGAGTGCTTTTATAAACGGTCGGATAAACTATCATAACGATCACGGTGCAAAGTCAGTTGCACTCGTCATAATTGTGAACACCGCAAGTATCATTATCAACAATGTCAACGAGTGACTTTTTCGGCAAGCTCTGCATTATCGTCTGAATAGGGACAGGCAACCCGTCATACTGACCTATATGTGATGATGTTACACCACCCTGTAGGTATGTGTGTACGAAGGTGCGCGTTTGTACGCGAATTTCGAGAGAACAGCCGGACTCTGCCGCTCTGTCGGGTCGACATTTGAAACGATAAAACACAGCTGCATCCGCGGCGCGACGTTACTTCCCGCGCCATCGGAAGCGTAATTCGCTCCCAGGCGGAGTCGCTCGTAACGTCTCGACGGGCGTCGCGAGCCCGAGCGCGACTGCGGCGAAAAATCGACGAGGCGGGGAAATGCTTCTATAAAGGGAGTTATTTGCAGTTATTTTAACGAGGGTTCACGGAACAGAATGGGGAAACTGGGAAATATAGCGCGGCGGACGAAAGTACGACGAAACCGCGGCCTGCGCCGCGCGAACACGTCGCGCGCACTTTGCGTTATTATTATATGACGTCACGGTGGAATTCGCATCCCGCGTGCACCCCGCAGGAGCGTATAAACTTGCGATCTTTATCGCTGCGTATTTGATATCGGCGTCGGTTGCTTAGCTATTGATACTTGCTGAAGGTACGCTCCGTCGCGCGCGAATGAAATTTCGTCTCGAACGAAGGCAGCGACTGAGCGGAAAATGGAATTCATCCTTTCGGAGACGAAGAGAGAGAGAGAGAGAGAGAGAGAGAGAGAGAGAGAGACCTCTTCCGAGGACGAGTTCCCGCGAGACGAATCCTTTTCACGAGAAACGCGAAAAACAGCGGCAGCGCCGACGAGACATATCCCGAGGCCAACTTGCCGAACGCGTCATTCGAGGCT